CCAATAGATCATGAGTAGGAAGCAATAAAATCGCGTGTGTAAATCGGTTTATTTATTTCTTACATGAACCTTACCTTCTAGATTATTCTCAATGTGGTGCAAGCCCAATACGGCTTCGAGCACGAACACGACGAATGGTTGGTGGTAAAAACTCAAAAAAAGGGTGGTGGCCCTGGATGATTGGACTACGCAGACTGAACAGCAAAAGTAATTTAACAAACGAAATTTTATCTTTTTAAATCTTTTTTTAACTTACAATTGAAACCGACTGTATAAAAGCCTTCATCGACTTTGTGAAGACTAAAATTAGATTATAATCAATTTCGCCCCGGTTACAGTAAAAGAAAGATTTTCTCAATTTTTCTTGTGGCAAATAGAGAACGATTCACCGTGTATTTATCCCTCTTGCATTCTCTTCACACCCTCTTTCCAAATATACAGCTAATATATACCCACCAAAAACTCCCTATTTCACTGACGAACTCTGAGTTTATAGCCAGGATTTTTTTTCATACTATTTCGTGTCTCATTAGAACATGTTTTCTGATATACACTTACTCTTTGCACTCACACTAAATTTTCAAGCTTTTGAAAAAAATACTTTTACAATGAGAACTTTATTAAGATATTTACCATTGAGACTGAAACATATTTTTTTTTTTTATTTCTGTTCACCTTCCGTTTCTTAGTGGAAAATGTACTTATCTGTGGAGGTGCTCTGATTTCTCGTCGCTGGGTTCTGACAGCTGCACATTGTTTTTACCACCAAAATTTTCTGGGGGCTCGTGTTCTCGACGATTTATCCAATAAGTAAGCACTAAGTCCCTTAACTTTTTTACGTTTTGAAGTTTTAAATAACCATTTTATATCTATAGATATCATTTTTTATTACATTATTTAAAATTTCTTATCTAAAGAGAGAGAAAATTGTGCGAAAAGAAAGGTTTTCGAATTTCTGATCCTTCACAAGGAATAACTCTCGAAAAACTTTCAAAACCAGCCGTTCCTTAATTAGTGAAGCAAACCTGGCTCTTTGACACGCAGGTACCACGTGACAGTGGGTGACCACCACTTGCAGAGAGTTGAAAAGTCTCAGATGGAAGTGGAGGTGGAGAAGATATTTGTTCATCGAGATTACATTGATACCAAGCTCACAAATAACATCGCTCTTGTGAAACTTCACCAAAAAGTGGAACTTGGTCGCTTTGTACAGACATTGTGTATTCCGGAAAAGGATGATGGTGATTCGGCAATCCCTAGAAAATTCGGCATAGCAACAGGTTGGGGTGTAACACAGGCCTTGAAACTTGGAGAAAATCCCAAAGAAGAAAAACGCTACTCAGCCCGTCTTCAATACTCAGCCTTCACAATTCAAAGCGACCAACTCTGCGCTAACAAGTCAGTGCCGTACTTTTTTAACTCTACGGTGACGTTCTGTGCTGGGGATGGAAAGGGAGGAAATGATACTTGCCATGGCGACAGTGGAGGAGCTTTCGTCCGTGAGGTAAAAAGAGGAGACAACTTCCGTTGGGTGGCTTCTGGGCTGGTCAGCTGGGGAGTGGGCTGCGCACAAAAGGATCAGTACGGATACTATACCAGGGTGTATCCATTTATTGATTGGATAAAGAAAACTATGAGAGATAACTCTTAGGAAGATAATTTGGCTTTGTTACAACTAGCGCTGCATACTTGAGATGAATGTTAAAAGCTTTTTATTTCTTTTCTTTGCAAAAGTATCTTAACAGAGCCCTATTTTAAGTCAAACGAGGAGAATGTTAACTACTTCTAAATTCATGAATTATGTTAACAGAATTCATGCATTAAAGATGTCTGAATAAGCCTTAGACGAAATAATCAAGTGTGGGATAGACTAGACTCGCTTACTGGCCTACTAGCGCAATATGTAATTTTTTTGGGAAATGAATACCTTGATGTTAAGGAAGAGAGCTCTTTAAAGATTGTGCATGGTGTTTGGTCGCCCAATAAAAGCAGCATGCAGAGACTTTTTAGCTTTTTTCCGCGTTGCTGGTTTTTTTTTTTTTTTTAAAATACTGTACATCTCACGATCCTGGTAAAAACCGAGACAATACCTCATCCTCCCTTACAATATAGTTTCTATGAGTCTGTGACGATAGCACGCCATAAAGGTGGGCGCCCTCTAACACACACAAAACACCAAGCACAAACAAGCCAGAGAAGACACGCCACAACACTATTAAACGTACGCCTACAAATATTTATTATCCTAAGTAAAACAATAAAGCGACCAACAATAACGATAATACAATGAGCTGAATTATTTATCCTAATTACAGGAACACGATAATTTAAACTACAATACACTAAAACTATTTACAAGAGTATTACTATTAAGATATAAAAAAAAAAGGTAGGTGTTTTTTTTAGTTCAGTTCAGTTCAGTTCACCCTCGCGTCCCTGTGCTTGCCCTGTCCTTAACCCAGCCACTTTCCACCAACAAACGACTGATAAACCAAACAAACGACTGACAAACCAAACTCACTTTTAACCCAGCCAAACGTAGAAGTTTTCAACTTCACGTAATTCGGTCTTCGCCTAGATCTTTCCTTGACTCAGATGTCTTCACTGGCTTACTATCTGACCAGAAGATAATCTTTTCCATTTCCTGCTTCTGCGCTTTCTTCGACCAGCTTCTCGGCACACATAAGCCCCCCGGCAAATGAATTCTTCGTTGTGTAAACGAACGATTTTACTGAATGACTCTTCAGTGATTAGAACGTGCTCTGATCCGAACGAGTCTCCGTAGCTTTCAAGTCTTCACCGCCGGTGACCTTCTCTCGAAACAGGGAGAAAAAAAAAAACCTCACACCGCAACCACCCGAATCCTTATATACATGGCACAGTGAAGGCAAGGTGCCAGAAAAGAATGAAGAAAACCATTTCATATATAAAATAAAGTTTAATTACACAACAGGTTACACAAGTGAAGAATACAAGTTACGTAACAGATACAAATATCACGCACTACATTGATCCTAGGAGAATAAAATAATTATTTACATATCCCTAAATAAATTCTTTTGGACGCTTTCATGACAGAGTCTTCATCAAACTTAGTCTAACTGACTCATAGTAATTTGGTTATATCAACTCAGCTGAAATTCTAAATTGGCCACCGTAACGAGTTAAACTGAAGCTGATGTTTCAAGTCCCTTCGCTCTGACGCCGAAAGGGCTAACGCTCGAAACGCCAGCTTTTCATGATCAACTCGTTACGGTGGCCAATTACAATTTAAACTTAGTTGATATAACCAAATTACCTTGTTACCCCCACCGACGCAGCACCACAGTTTCTTTAGAAACTTTCACCCTTTACTCAAGAGTCATAACATAACTGAGTCTTCATCAAAACACAGACAGAGCAAAGTGACGGTAACTGACCTTCTGTAAACAATGGCGAAAATTTAACATCAAATGTGCGTCACAATATGTCTATGAGAAAAATATTAATTGTAACAAACTGTTTACCCATCGAATAGAAGATGCAGACCTGGGTTGAGAGTTTTACGCAGGATCCAGACACTGCCTTCAAAAGATGATCACCTTGCTACATTCTAATATAAAGGACATTATATTTGTTACCACCTGCCATACCTACGTACTTATAGTGCATCGCCGAGTAAATAGAATTGGAATTATTAAAGAGAGGGGAAAGCTCAAAATGAATTCACAGAAAAAGACTTTTGACAAAGTTGCACTGACAGAGTAACTTTGGACTATTTACACCCCCTCCCATTTCTAGATCTTGACATGCAACACTTGGCACCTCCTCCGTCGACTTTTATGATCGTTGCATGACGCGAGGAACGAGTCAGCAAAACGGAAATGTCCCTGACTGCCGACCCATGTACATTAGAGCGTTAGATGATGATTCAAACTCGGTAACCACCTAACCCCTGCTACTTTGCAGGATTCATTCTCGTCCCAGATCAGTCAGAGAGCATTTTATCACTCCCTCCAGTTTTCAAGCTGGTGATCTATGTCAGCACATAAATTTTAGCGTGTATTTAAGATGTCATATAAAAGTTTCTTATTGACATTGAGGTAGATGTAAATAGCGGTTTAAAACTACCCTTGTAGAGTTGAAAGACTTTTGCTTCAATCACATCGGCAATATTCAGACTTGTCATGTGAAGTTGCAGCCGCCAGTTCAATTTATTCTGATCAACTATCTAGTATAGTAAAACGTGATGAAAACCGTACACTTAGCCTTTCTTCCTTGTGGCGTTAAAACATTTGCGGATGTTGTTATCTTGACCTTTAGACATTTAGGTTCAGTTTCAAGGGAAGTATAAATCAAATTTCACAAATTTAAAGAGCGCGCACGACAAGGTTGAATAAGAACATCGTTGAGATCCGCAAAAGTTTTGTATTTCTTGACAGACTCTTACTTCACCAGGCACCAACTGAAAAACTATTGCTTGGCTGTAATAATGCTAAAGAAATACCAGTCCCTTGCATGCTTCTTATATATTTCGGTGGTGTACGTGTCTTTGGGATATGCTGGTAAGTAGTAAGTTTAATTCCAAAGCTATTACTGCTACGAGCTGGGAAATCGTTAGGTTTCAGTCTTACTGACCTATGGAAAATCCTGCTTAGCATGAATAATTATAGAGAAATTCATGAGGTGGGTTACCAGTCTGTGATTTAGTGAATATTCCTCTTCATAGCAGTCACAAAGGAACATCAGATGTATGTATCTAATGTGTTTCATTTTGCGTTTCTAACTGGTCCATGTTTCGGAAGACTTTTAGACATATTTGTGACTCTTCATGTACTCAAACATGAAAGCACAAGCACTAGACACATTATTAATTTATATTGGGGAAGGAAATTAAGCGTCACGCACGTTCGATAACGTAACTTGCGTTGACCTTTACCAAATGAAAGAGACCTTTGGTAAAACATTACATTTAAAGACCATAATCTCAAGGCAATCTGCCGTTTACGACATGATCTTAATCGTCTTTCAGACTGCGGCGATCAAGGCATTCCTTTACCTCCAACTTCACCACAAATCCGACAGTGCTTAACTGCTGGACCGGTATCGTATTTTTATCTCAGCTTCCCCATTGAATATGAGATTACAGCGACGAAGATCTACATTTCAGAAAGCAAAGTTCAATGGATTGAATTGCAGGCGCTACTGTCAAATACGTATGTGAATCGTGATCATTTCAAGGTAACAGCTTGTTCAGTTGTACTTCTTTCCTTATACGCTCTTCGATTTTTTTTTTCCGGCCTAACTAAAAATCGAGATATCTATGTGAAATGATTGATGTTAACTTTGCTCATGGAGTATTCGACTTTTTTTTCTTTTCAGCCACGACACGGTCCTGGGTCACAAGAGTTAGTACTTTCCAAACCAGTCATAACTAGGTCTTTACGAATTGTGCTGGGGAGACCCCACCAGACCCGCCCCACCCGAATTTGTTTTCTTGGGGTAGTGTATGGATGCGAGGCAACCCCTCAAGGTGAGAGTGTAGAAAGTTGTGGATAGTCAATTTGAATTAAGTTATTCGATTAAAAAAGCTTTAATAACTATGACGGAAGAAGAACGCTTTTGAGTTCAGATAACTTCTTCTCCACAAGCAATTTGTGAAAAGCTTCTTTTACAATGAAATGTTAATATTTATGAAATAGTCACCATAGGAGATGAAGCACATTATTATCTATTGTTAAACTTTTTTTTTGGTTGTATCTTATCATCATATTAGACCATGTAGGTCATACATAATTCTAATCCTACAGTGTTTTCTCTAACACCTTTCCCGCCTTTTCGCCCAAAAGCACAGTGCTAAGCTTACATTATTGTATGATGAATGATATAATGCCTTTATTCAAGAAACTGCTCGTAAGATTTCATATCCGCTATTTGCATGCAATTAATAAATATATTATTGTCTCGCCTTGTGTTTTATGTCCTTACCGTTTTAGGTTGTATTATGCCTGGCTCTCCAGTCCTCTTCAAAGATGGAGGGAAATACTTGAAAGGGCGATTTTCGTTGACCACGAGGCGTTCCGGATGGGAGATTGTTTATGGAGAGAAATTCATCTATAATAACAAAAATATCATTCTTGATGAGAAACCACCAAGCGTGCTCCTTGAGGGAACTGCAGTCGTTGGGAAAGATTCGGAAGGGAACTTAAGAGAGGGAAAAGCAAAACAAATGTGCTTGTATCCAAATCAATGCACGGTCGAGACCAACGGTGTAGAATGGCAAAGTAAGTTCGATGACGTCAGGCTTTTGACGGGAAAACTGTGTAAATAATCTGCGTCTACGATCGTTTTTGATATTTAACTCCCTTTTGTCAGTCTTGTTTTTTCAGTTTGTGTTCTTCGCCCGATTAAAACCGGTTTTTCAGCGCTGAAATGTTTTGTACATTTTATGTACTTCTCTCTTCTCAGTACAGCATTCTTTGTTCTAAAAGCTAGAGTACTTTTCATTTCAAAGTTATTTCTATATGATGAAAATAATTAAGAGGGATGTTTGAGTGCTTTTAAAACTTGCCAAAAGAAAAAACTATCTACAAAGATGGAAGACCTTCGTTCTCATAAATTGATCGATCCTCCACTTCACGATCTAGCCGGAAGTCAAACTTGCCAGGAAGAGATAAATTTATCATAAAATACCTTCATATAGAATTGATTCTCGTTCATATTCATTTTAGTTCTCTATATCTAGATATGGTTAAATGCTTAATAAACATGAAGGAGAAAATGTCATGTTAAGGAATTTTATTTCTAGCAAAAGAAAGGGATTATCGGCAATTAAATAATGCTTGAACTTGGATGTAAAAGGCACCAATTTGCAATTTTGCGATCGAGCTTTTTGGAGCTTGACCGCTTAAACTGAGATTTAAGCATCCATGAATGATGGAATCATTCTGTGTGTGGCTACGTTTGAGAATTAAATAACGTTAACCCACATAACTGAGCTAAAAATAAAATTGTACTTAGATCTCTAAGTAGAGCGGAAATTACCGTTTGATAGGTTTTGACCTCTACTTCGCCTGGTTTAATAAGCTTATTCCATAAGAAAATGGTTCATTCAGCTTTTGTTAATAAGTCAAAGTTTTCATGAATTTTTTTACTTTTATGATTTGCTAACGCGTTAACGCGTTGAAAGTCATATCCAGCTTTGCGCGTCTGTGGAGCAAGAGCATTAATTAAGGGAAGTCGTAATCATAATTGAGTATGATTTGGCATGTTTTCAGACAAACGCACTGAAGGGATCGGCCTCTGACTATTAATGTTCCGCTTCAGGAGAAGTAACTTTTACAATAGAGATAAAGCTCACCTTCAAGTTCCTTATTTTCTGCGTATCGTTATAAGTGTAGACGTCTTATTTTGCTACACAAGCGCCGTATGAAATGGGTCAAGTTGATTACAAGGAAGTCAAAGGAAATGAACTTGTATGCTGCTTGTGTCGTTTACTATTTAGTGGTTGACTCTATTTCGGATTTATTGGTAAATAGCGGCTCCTGTTGTATGAATAGGATTTTAACAAATTTCAAATAATTCTGAAAAACACCCACGTAAAGGTAGAATACATTGTATAGGTGACAGCATGACTGGCAAGCCGGTAACATTGCAAAATACCACCTACAGGTCATACCATTATTTATTTTATAATAGAAACCGAGAAACCTTCGGTAACGCACAAGAGACCTTCATTTCCTCGGGTTGAAGAAACAAACACAGGCGTCTGCATTCGTACAACCTGTTCTCTCCTTTTTCCTTCACCGTGTTGTCATGGTAACCTTACTATACCATCCATCCATGTTATACGACTGTTACACTAAAATAGTGATACTTTCAACCGATCAAATCTCTTCTGCGGCAACCAAATTATAGTCGATACTCTGAACGTATTGCAAATTAAATATCTTTTCACAAGAAAAGGCGGAAATATGAAATCTTTTATGATATTTTCGCCAACAGATTGACACAATTTAGATTTTTAGCTCACATCACTGCCTAGTTTGACATTAGCGAGATGATCAAAATATAAACATTTAAATAGAAGTTTACGCAAACTTAGAACTCAAACTGCGCTGATTAAGAAAGACATTTGTCATACCTGTTCAAATGTGCCATGGTGACTTGTTCTTGTAATGGAACCAAATTCCTTTATTACATGTTGTAGGTAGAGTGTCAGCTATTGAGGTTATTATCTCCTCCTCTCATTCGGAAACATGGTCATCAATTCTTATTTAGAGTCAAAAGTCATCTTGTCTGACGAGAGTTAACGCGCTTTCCTACAAAGTTTCTTCGCACTATCTTAGTCGTCGGTGAAGCATTACACAGTAGGAATAGATAATAATGTTCCCAAATGGTATAGTGAAGGCCATATTTGTACACCAAGTCAATCCCTTGGAATTTGACCTTCTTTCTTATCTGAATGCTTTCCTTTGTGTAGTAAACTTACTCACTGGCCTATTTAAATCCTACAACATCTCTCATAATATCATATTACTCTTTCCCCCCTCCCCTCCCTTATTAACCAAACGTTTCCTCGATTCCGATTTCCATGCGATGAATACATGGGCCCAAAATGTGGAAAAAAAAAGGTGATGTAAAATACTGTGGGACATGCAGCGTGTATGACGGGAAAAGAAAAGTGAAAAGTGTCCCTCAGCCGCTGACTACAACAAACCAAAGTTGGGCCAAATGCTTTGATTCATCACCACTCTTGCGATAAGTTTGGAATGCAAAGTAAACGAATCCCAAACGAGAGTATTACAGCATCATCTTCAAAACGGACAGGTAACTCCTCTGACCTTAATTAGGCGTTTGGACGGCCCAAGAGCCGTTTACTTTGCGCCAAATGACAAATTTTCTTACAAACAATCCAGCTGAAAGAAACAAAAATTATAACAACTCAAAGAGAGCTCTTCTCATTGGGCATAGGTGACAAAATATGGAGTCATTTCCAGGAAAATGGAACATGGAAAGGATACAATAAGGTTCCCTTATTTACAAATGTTTGGTTTTCTTATTTTTTATTTGGTCGTATTGTATCAAGATAGCTAATTTAACATATCTTCCTTTTTATACGTTCATGTACGAGGGGAATATACGAGAGTCAATTGATATTTTTTTTTCAAAATGAATAAAGGGGGTAATTCTCTAAAGAAACTGTGGTGCTGCGTCGTTGGGGTAACAAAGTAACTTGGTTATATCAACTAAGTTGAACTTGTAAATTAGTCACCGCTCTGAAGAAGGGCTAAAGCACTAAACGTCAACTTTTTAACTCTTCACGGTGTCCAATTAACAATTTCAACTTAGTTTATGTAACCAAATTTTTTTTTTAAAGTCAGGTTTACTGTTAGTTCTATATCGGACTTATATATCACAAAAAGAAATAAATGCTTCGAATCTTTCAAGATACTTTGTCGCGGGCGCGAGTGAGATAAAAAGCTGTAATCATGAACTAAAAAAAAACCTTCTGTGTTTATCGTCTGAATATATTAACCCTTTAATTCCCTCCTTTAGCTGCCGTATATGCCTATAAATCAGTTACAAGAAAATGGTGTTAGATCAAGATATTTTCTTCGACCTGATTAGTTTGCGCATTCTCACAACCTGTTTGCTTGATAATATATATAACTAACTGCATATATATTATATATATATGCATTATATATATAATGATATATATATGCATTATATATATATAATGTGTGGTAGTCGGAAGAAAACAACTACATATGCATCCCTACAGACCTGTTTCGTGGTTGCCCACTCATCAGGGGATTTTAATATATATCAAAAGAGAAGTATAATCGTTTGTGTCACGATGTGGTCACTGAAAATGTGGATCGCAATGTTTCGACTGTATACTCCTAATCTTATTCAGGTGATATGTCGATTGGGTACGCATCAACTATAAACGGTTGTGCTCGGCTTTGACCGGATGGAATTCCACGGTCGTGATTGATGCATGTCAGGACCAGGTTTCCCCTACGGTCCACCACCACGCGTCTCCTGATCACTTGTTGTATTTCTTGATCATCGGCATCAAGACTTCTGGGATTTCGATATAAAGATATAGTGCCTCACGATACGGTCGCATGACGATAGGCTTCCATTTAATTTTAACCCATTTAATTACGTCCTTTTGCGACGCTGAGTGAAAGAGAAATAAAAGAATTTATGTTATGTTAAGATGTGATAGTTGCAGCATGTTAAGGTCGTGTAATAAAAGGCGGAAGTATTAAAAAAAATGTGATGCTGCGTTAGGAAGGGAGTAAAGCTAAGAGAGATACTCTTTACAGTGGCCAATGTACATTATTAACTCAGTTGATAAAACCAAATTATCTTTCTATTTATATATGCCTAAGGCTTCACACAAACCAAGGTTAATGCAACAAAACGCTGCAACAATACTTGTCAAGCGTCGTTAGAAAACGATTACTACTGACCCCAACGAGGAAATGAGAACTACATGAGAAAGAAAAGATTACTACCAGAATAGCTGACACCCCAAAGATGAAGTGAGGGCTTTAGTTTCATTGCAGGCACACTGTGGCGTCACTATGGTATGTGGCGAGCATCAATAGTTTCTATGTACACCAAAGCTTTCTTCCTTGTGGCGTTAAAGCATTTGCGGATGTTGTTATCTTCACCTTTTGACATTTAAGTTCAGTTTCAAGGGAAGTATAAATCAACTTGAACAGATTTAAAGAGCACGCACAACAAGGATGCACGAGAACATCGTTGGTATCCGTAAAAGCTTTGTATTTCTTGGCAGGCTCCTACTTCACTAGGCACCAACTGAAAAACTCTTGCTTGGCTACAATCATGTTAGAGAGAATCAAGCCCCTTGTATGCTTCTTTTACTTTTCAATGGTGTACATCTCTTGGGGATATCCTGGTATGTAGTGAACTAAGAAAAAAACTATTATTGATACGAATTCGGAAATCGTTACTAATGTCGGTCTCTCTCCTCATGGAAATTCCTGCTCAGCATAAACAATTATAGAGAAGTTCATATGGTGGGTTACCAGTCTGGGATTTAGTGAATATTCCTTTTCATAGCAGTCACAAACGAACATCAGATGTGTATAGCTGATGTGTTTCATTTTGCGTTTCCAACTCGTCCATATTTCGGGAGAGTTTTAGATACATCTGTGACTCTTCCGGTACGCAAAACATAAAAGTAGAGGTACTAGACATATTACTTATTCAGTTTGGGGAAGAAAATTAAGCTTCACGCATGTTAGATTTGAGTCAAGAGATCTTTAATGAACCGTTACATTTAAGGACAATAATTACAAGACATGATGTTTTTTATGTTTAAGACTGCGGCGGTCGAGAAATCCCTCTTCCTCTATTTCCATCACAGCCGTGCTCAACTACTGGACGGGTATGGCATTTTGATTTCAGCTTCCCCACTGAATATGAGATTACTGCGGTGCAGATCTACGTTTCTGACCAAGTTACTGGCGACAGCAAAGTTGAATGGATTCTATTCCAGGCGCTTCTTTCAAACACATATGTGACTCGTGATTGGTTCAAGGTAACAACTTGTTTTTGTTTTCAGTTTTGTTTTTTTTTTCTGACCTTTACTAAAAATCGAGGTAACTAAGAGGATGGATCGAAGGTCGTTTTACTCAATGAATATTTGACCTTTCTTTTTTCAGCCACGACACGGTTTTGGGGAATTATTACATCGTGGCTCCATTATTGAGGTAATAGCTCGTTCACTTGCAATTCTTACCTAAAGTCCCGCCCATTTTTTTTCTGGCTTAACTAAAAATCGAGGTATGATTGAGGGTCATTTTACATAAGGAGTATTCGATCTTTCTTTTTACAGGCACGAAACGGTTCTGGGAAAAAGTTAGTACTTTCCAAACCAGTTATAACTCGGTCTTTGAGAATTGTGCTGGGAAGACCCCGCCATACCCTTCGCACCCGAATTTGTTTTCTTGGTGTAGTGTTTGGATGCGAGGCAACCCCTCAAGGTGAGAGTGTAGGAAGTAGTGGACAGCCAGTTTGAATTAAGTTATTCTATTGAAAAAGCCTTATTCGAATAAACTTTAACTAAAGAAGAATTGAGCTTTTGAACTGATTCCAGAAAACTTTTTCCCCATAAGCAATTTGTGAAAAGCTTCTTTTACAATGTTAAAATTTTTCAAATAAACACCATAGGAATCAGATGAAGCGTATTATTATTTGATGTTAAAAAGTATTAGTTGCTTGTGTCATATCATCATATTAGACCATGTGTTTTTTCTAACACCTTTCCTACCTTTCCTCGCCAAAAGCACAGTGCTCAGCTTACATCACTGTATGATGGATGATAAAAAAGCCTTTATTCAAGAAACTGCTCGTCAGATTTCAAGTTCTATCCACCATTTGCATGCTAAGAATATTTCTACTGTAGTCTCGCCTTATGTTTTATGTCCATATCCTTTTAGGTTGTATTATGCCTGGCTCTCCAGTCCTCTTCAAAGAAGAAGGAAAATATTTGAAAGGGCGCTTTTCGTTGACCACGAGACGTTCCGGATGGGAGATTGTTTATGGAAAAAAATTCATCTATAATAACAAAAATATTATTCTTGATGAGGGACCACCAAGCGAGCTGCTTAAGGGAACTGTAGTCGTTGGGAAAGATTCGGAAGGGAACTTACGAGAGGGTAAAGCAAAACAAATGTGCTTGTACCCAGATCAGTGCACGATCGAGACCAATGGTGCAGAATGGCAAAGTAAATTCGATGACGTCAGGCTTTTGACAGGAAAACTGTGTAAATAATCTGCGTTTACTATTGCTTTTGGTATTTAACTCTCATCCCGCAGTCTTGTTTTTTTCTGTTTGAATTCTTCACCAGTTTAAAACCAGTTGTTCAGCGCTAAGATGTTTTGTCCACTTTGCGCATTTCTCTCTTCTCAGTACGGCATTCTGTGTTTTAAAAGATAGATTACTTTTCATTTCAGAGTTATTTGTATATGATGTATGGAGGAGGAACGTTTGAGTGCTTAACTTGCCAAAAAACAACTATCTACATAGATGAAGGCCTTCGCTCTCACAATGTGATCGATCCTCCTTCTCACGAGCTGCTGAAGTCAAATAAGAGATAATTTTATCATAAGAACGCTTTATATGGACTTATTTTAGATCATAAAAATCAGGGTCTCTGTACATATATTTAAATGCTTAATAAACCTGAAGGTGAAAAGGTGTTGTTAAGGAATTATACTTCAGACGAATTGAGCGGGGGGGGGGGATATCGGTAATTAACAGGAGCGAATTTGGATGTAAAAGGCATTGATTCGCAATTCCGCCATCGAACTCGAAGGCACCTAGCCATCTAGCCATATATGTTTTTGTACCCCTCTATTCTATATAGTTTGAATAGCGTACCACAATTGCTAAAGAAACCAGCAAAAGGAATGTTGAAGAAGATAAATTACCCAAACAAATCTTTTGCTTTGCTAGGATGCATAGATAGGGAAACAATTCCCTTCCCCCGTCTTTTTTAAAAAAATTGATAGTAGTCAAATGCCTTGCGATTTTTTAAAGGGAGAAGACAATTGGCGGAAGAACGTGATACACTTATGGTCTCAGTGCTTAGTTGGCCGACAATTAAAAAGTGTCATTTTATGAGTTTACCAGAAGATAATTTATAATGGCAAGGTTTATTCAAAAATATCTTTGTTGGGCCCCAACCACCTAGACTGCGATTTAATCAACCATGAATGCTGCAATCTTTCTTTCTGAGCCTACCTTTGAGAATCAAATGACGTTAACCCACAAAACTGAGCTAAAAATAAAAGTGTAGTTTGATCCCAACATAGAGCGGAAATTACTATTTGAAAGGCTTTGACCTCTACTTCGCATGGTTTAATAAGCTTATTCCATAATCCCATTTTATAATTAGCAAAATTTAGTCCATAAAAACAATAATCAGCTTTTCTTGATGAGTCATAGCTTTCATAATTTTGTTTACTCTTATCATTTGCTAACGCGTTAACGTTTTCAAAGTCATATCCAGCTTTGCGCGCCTGTGGAGCAAAAGCATTAAGGGAAGTCATAATCATAATTTAGTATATTTTGGCAAGTTTTCAGACGAACGCACTGAAGGGATTGGCTTCTGTCTATTAATTTTCCGCTTCAGGGGAAGTGAATTTTACAGTAGATCTAAAAAAAGCCCATGTTCAAGTTCCTTATTTTCTGTGAATCGTTGTTAGTGAAGACGTCATATTTTGCTAGATGAGCGCCGTATGAAGTTGATCAGCTTGATTAAGAGGAAGTCAAAGGACATGAATTTCTATGCTGCTTGTTTCGTTTACTTTTTAGTGGTCTCACTCTGTTTCAGATCGACTGGTAAGTAGCTTGTTAAAAAAAAAAAAAACGTTTGTTTTTCTATGTAAAGAGCCAGACTTTGCCCTTTCTTTTGCTTTGGGTTTAGTATAGAGCTTGCGATCAATTTCCGTTGTATGAGAAGGGTTTTAACAAATTTCAAATAGTTCTGAAAAACACCAACGTTAAAGTAGGAACCATTCTATCTAAAACATCGTTATTTATTGAAATTGAGGTGCATTAGAACTAAATCAAACTGCGAAACAGTAAGGTACCTTTGGGACTACAAATTTGTTTTAAGATTTGTATAGATAATAGCATGACTTGTAGTGGTATTTGGCATAAAAACCCCTCCATTAATTTTGGCGCGATTTTATTGGTTACCTTACGTCACGTGGTGCAAAATCACAGAACAGTTATCACGCAATAACCCCGTCTGCGTCGATGTTTGTCCTCCGATTTTTTTCCGTGAAAAAGAGACATAGTCAAGACCGTCAAGAGTTTCAACTTTTCCGTTCTCCTATTTACATGGAAGGAAACCAAACTGATTTTTTTTTTTATTTTTGCTTGCTTGCGTCAATCACGCGCACTTGCCATCAGATTACCACTGGCTTTTTTACTGTGTTTACGCGCAGTTTAATTACAATGTTAAAATTAATGGGAGGGTTATAAAATAAATAAACCCCGTTCTGGCTTGCTGGTATGTCGGCTGATAATGTCCTTGGCTGAGAGATTATCCTCAAAATTTCATATTTGCCCTCGAAGCTTCGCTTCTCGGTCAAATATTCATTTTTCGGACAATCTCTCAGCCGCGGACATTATCAGCCGACATACAAGGCGCCCGAAGGGTTTATCTACTAAATAACATACCGCAAGTGATATTTTAAAATTATCCAAAATACCACGAGCCGCGAAGAAATGTTAAGAGCCGGTAATATCGCAAATACCGCGGATAGATCATCCTATTATTTATTTCATAATAGAAGCCGAGAAGCCGAGAAACCTTCGGTAACGCACAAGAGACCTTTATTTCCTCACGTTTGAAGAAATAATCACAGGCGTCTGCTTTCGTACAATCTTCTCTCTCCTTTCTCACACATCCTGTTGTCATGGTAACCTTGTTATACCATCGAGTTTTGCTCTTATACCACTATTACACTAAAATAGTGATACTTTCAACCATCAAATCTCCGACATTTCTCGGCTTATGTCATATTATTTTATTATTGTTTCCATAACTGATTCATACTGCGATGTGATACCATCATGTTGATGCTAACAGGCTTCTAATAAAGCTGAAGCGGGCAGTTGGTTTAAGCTCTATTTATTTATTTTTGCCAAATGAAAACACAACAAACACGCTAAAAACACCACAAACTTATTTGAAACACAATACATTTATCTGAAGCACAACACAAACACTGTACTGAAAACAGAACACACAAAATGAAAACACAACACACACAAACTGAAAACACAATACACACAAACTGAAAACACAACACACACAAACTGAAAACACAACACACACAGACTGAAAACACAACACAATCGTCCAAAACACAACACACTTTCCAACGCACTAGTTTTGTTTCCGCTGGGCTGTATGATACGCAGGCGCAATAAAAAGTATGAACATGGCGGATAATAAAGAGGAAGAAGCTATTCGATTCTACTTTTCGAAGAATTGTGATCACAATACCATTTTGGACTTTCTTGAAAGATGCCACGGACTAAAAATGTCAAAAAGAACTCTTCTGAACTGTCTAAAAAGGTATGGTCTGTGCAGAAGAGGAAGGGCAATAGATGAACAAATTGTACGCGGAAATATCGCGAGAGAGCTCGACGGCTCCGGATCGCATCTCGGATACAGGTCCATGTGGCGAAGGCTTCATTCAAAGTCTGGAATTAATCTTCCAAGGTCAACTGTCCAGGTTTTGTTGGCTGAACTCGATCAGTCTGTGTGTGTTGTGTTTTCAGTCTTTGTGTTGTGTTTTCAGTGTTTGTGTCGTGTTTTCAGTTTGTGTGCGTTGTGTTTTCAGTTTGTGTGTGCTGTGTTTTCAGTTTGTGTGTGTTGTGTTTTCAGTTTGTGTGTGTTGTGTTTTCACATTGTATGTGTTGTGTTTTCATTTTGTGTGTGTTGTGTTCTCAGTGTTTGTGTTGTGTTTTGCACTTATGGGCCACCGTACTTCTGCGGTAAGCAAACTCGATCCATGACTCCGAACGTACTGCAAATTAAAATCGCTTGAAAAGAAAAGCGGAAAGATGAATCTTGGATTATCGGTTGCCCCAACAGATTGACACGATTTAGACATTTGGTTCATATCACTGGCCTAGTTTGACATTAGCGAGAAGATGAAAATAAGAACATTTGAATAGAAGTTTGCGCAAACTACGAATTCAAACCGCGTTGATCAAGAAGAGCATTCGCTATACCTGTTCAAATGTACCACGGTGACGTACACTTATGGAACTAAAACTCCTTATAACATGTTGTAGAGCCATTCTAGTTAATATCTCCTCTTTTAGGTCGGAAACATGGTCCTCGACACTACGTGAAGTCATTCCCTTGAAATTTTACCTCCCTTCTAACGTGAATGCTTTCCTTAGTTTAAATAACTTAATCCCTGGCCCAGTTAAATTTTACAACATTTCTGATAAAATAATAAAATGTTACTCCCCCCCCCTCCCCCTTCCCCGACTTACCAAACAATTCCGCGTTTCCAATTTCTCCCTCCCCTCCCCAAATGACCAAATAATTCCACGTTTACAATTTCCATACTTTGAAGTTAATTAATAAATGAGCCCAAAAAATGGAAAAAAGTAGCTGGGGTAAAAGACTATAAGATGATGGGAAACGTATAAGTGAAGATTGTCCCTCAGCTATTGACTCATCGGCAACTAACCCGGGTTGGGCCAAATGCTTTAATTCAACGCCTCTTTTGCAGAGAGTTGCAGCGATGAGCTTGGAATGCAAAGTAAGCGAATCCCAAACGAGAGTATTACAGCATCATCTTCAAAACGTACAGATAACTCTCCTCACTTTGCACGTTTGGACGGCCCAAAGGCCTGGTGCTCGGCGCCACATGACAAATTGCCTTACATACAAATCCAGCTGAGTGAAACAAAGATTATAACTGGAATAAAAACTCAAGGAAGCTCTTCGGATTGGGCATGGGTGACAAAGTATGGAATCAAGTTTCTGGAAAATGGAGCATGGAAAGAATACAATAAGGTTCCCTAATTTTTAAATGTTTAGTTTTCATATTTTGGTTTGGTCTTCGGTTTACCACATTGCATCACCATGGTTAATTTAATACAGACTCTTTTTTACACCTTCATGTTCGAGGGGAAGCATGAGAGTCACTTGAGATATTTCTTTAAAGTTAGTTAGGTTTAGTGTTAGTTTTATATCCGATTTATATATCACGGAAGCAGAAAAATAGTCCGAATCTTTCATGATTCTTGAAACTTGGAAATTATTTAGTTCCTCCGTCGCGAGCGCAAGAGAGAGAAAAGCTCCAACCATGGACTGAAAAAACCTTCAGCACTTCCGTTGACTCTTTCAACTTGCAAGATCCAACCTTTAATTTTCTCCTCTAGCTGCTTCATATTTCCTTATAAATTAATTACAAGAAATTGGTATTAGATCAAGATATTTTCTTCTACCTGATAAGTTTGAGCATTATCATTTCCTGTTGGCTAGATAATGTATAGATATATATCAAAAAAGTATTATAATCGTTTGTGTAACGATGTGGACATGTACATTGTAGATGCGGATCGCGACGCTTCTAAAGCAAACTTCAAATCTTCTTCAGGCGATGAGGTCGATTGGGTACACATCACCTTTAAACTTTTGAGCTCAGCTTTGACGGGATGGAATTCTTGAATATCCCTGTCATGCTCTTTGATCCTCATCTGCATGGGCCTTCCAGTCTTGCCGATAGAAGGAGAAGTTACAAGTTACTCTTTCTGGGAATTAGAGGTTAACCACGCTTGAATCTAAAGCGTTAAGGCACAATGACCTTATGTTGCAAATGAACCATCTAAAAACTTATAACTCTCTGAGTTTCAGGAGTTAGCAGGCAACACAAACGTTAATGGCTTGGGGTCAAATATCCTAGATCCTCCAATCAGAACACAGTCGATTAGAATCTATCCCAAGAATCCAGTCACATTGGCTGGCCCCGATCCTAAACCCTGTTGCTTAAGATTAGAGCTGTATGGATGTTCTGCACCAGGTATGATTAAGGGATTCACCTATTGGCAATTTTTCATCGTCTGAAATAATTCAAAGATATAGTGCCTCTCGATACGGTCGCATGAAAATAGGCTTCCTTTTAACCCAGTTGATTAGGTCCATTTGCGACACTGAGTGAAAGAGAAATAAAAGGATTTATGGTCTGCTCTGATTTGATAGTTGTAGCATGCTAAGGTCGTGTAATAAAAGGAGGAAGTATCCGAAGAAACTGTGGTGCTGCGTTAGTAGGGGAGCAAAGCTAAGAAAGATACTCTTTAGAGTGGCCAATGTACATTATGAACTCAGTTGATAAAACCAATTTATCTTTCTATTCATATATGCCTAATGCTTCCTACAAAATAAGGTAAATGCGACAAAACACTGCAACAACACTTGTTAGACGTCGTTAGAAAACGATATCTACTGACTCTAACTAAGACATGAGCGCTACATATCTCTGGTTGGAAAGAAAAAATAGTTACCAGAATGGCTGACACCCTGCAACATGAAGTAAGCGCTTTAGTCAGTTATAACAATCATAATTCACCATGGTATTTGGCGCGTATCAACAGCATTTATGTGCATGGAGCGCCATGATGCATCATCTGGCCATATCTACTACTGCTTCATCTGCTTTTGACTTTATTTTTAAGGACCTATATGTGAGCCTCCGATTTCTCCTTATGGTTCAAACATCGTTTATCCTGCACAGCAAGGAAACCACGAAAATGGCAGCGTGGTTGTCTTTTCTTGTGAACCAGGCTTCTTCCTCACTGGGTTGCCAGTAATAAGATGCAGTGGGAACACTTGGACACAAATGAATTTCAAGTGTTTACTAGGTAAGAGCTGTTTTCTATCTTTTTATCGCCGAACAGTGCCATGATCGAGTTTGAAAAATCAGTCAACCTGAAGCAGTAGAGCGATCGACTGCTGGTGTTGGAGTAGAGGGAAAATGATTTGTTGTATGACCGACATACTTGATATATAAATGTCAGTGTTATGAGAAGAGAAGCTTATTTAGTTACTCGGAATCCCATTCTTAGCTCGTTCGTTGGTTCATTTCCCTATCTTTGCATTTGACAGTTCTTTTTATAGAGAAAATGTGACAAGTGAAAATGTCGACCCTGTTACAGAAGTATAAACATGCAAAAATTATCCAAACAGCGGTAGAACGACAATAATCAGTTCATTTCGTTATTATTGCTGTCTAAGATTCTGAGCCACTCGGTGGTCTTATTGTTTAGTTTTTGGTTTATCTGTAACAGTATTTGAATCAAACACACGATTTTTGCGATCCCACGTGATCGAATGACATATGCTGACCAGAGATAAAGGTAGATTCAGTTCAAGAATTTCTTACGTTATCTGGTGCAGACATTGCATTTTGTAAGTTGTTGTACTCCTCTCTCTGTTTCAAGAGCTTTGCCATGAAATATGAGGTATGTTTGATGATCAGGCCGTGCATGTAACATCTACTAATATAATCAAAGCCGCGTCGGAATTTCACTCTTATACAAATTTTCACTTGATCAGTAGACGTCTTTTTTAAATGTGTTAACGGCAGACAGAACTTGGAATAATTACCTGTTAAACTAAGCCCCGCCTCTTACCGCCCGTCCTTCAAATCAGCGTTATGAATAAAAAGATAGCTATGTCCCTCTCCCTTGGTAGTTTTTGAATTTCAATGAAACTGACCCATTGCAAGGGAAACACATATAGCCGAATTCACAAGTGCTGTTGTACCATTAATTTATTTCCACATTAAGTGTGCAACGAGGCCTTGGATCTCCTCAAATTCAACATCGGGTTCGTACACGGAATATGGGCGACTTACATTGAGGTACACCTTCGAAAGGAAAGCTTTATTACAGCGGCAAGTATCCGCCTGAAAGATAACAGACATAAGGTTCGACAGATTTATTTAAAGGCGCGTATTTCCAACAAATGGGTACAAATTGGTCGTCATTTTAAGGTAACATTGTTTAAATTCTTTATGATTATATCTACATTATTATCGCCCTTTTCCCTTACTTTGTGTATTACTGGCTTCGAAATATTGTAAGTCTGACCCACCCGCAGACCATAGGGAGACGGAGTTGATTCACCTCTCCAATTTCTTATTCTTTTGCACAAAGTATATCCAATGCCGCTTTAATTTTGAGGAAAGGAAGAAATACTTACTCGGCAAAATATGAAAAATTAACTTCCAAAAAGCATAGTTACATTTTCCTAAACGAATAAAATGTGATATTTTTTCAGCCACCCGTCAGTGAAGCGGAGGAAAAATTTAAACTTTCTCAACCAGTTCTCGCTCAGTCTTTGCAAGTCCTAATCATTACACGACATAGTTATGTCTTTACATTTCCAACATCTACAAGAGTGTTTGGATGTAAGCCTGTTTTTCGAGGTAAGAACTAAGATCATGGATAAACTTGATATTCTTGTTCTCTCTATCTATCTATCTATCTATCTATCTATCTATCTATCTATCTATCTATCTATCTATCTATCTATCTATCTATCTATCTATCTATCTATTTATCTATCTATCAAATAGAACGTGTTTGAATTAATTTAGAAACCACCTCTTCTTCGAAACCGAACAGTACTGATAGTTGTATGATGTGTGATATCCTCTGGTACAAAATCTCTGTTCTAGAAACTATGTGAATTTTTATCGCAGTCGTTATCTCCAATCACGTATCACGTCTGCATCACTTTTAGGTTGCATCATACCAGGCTCCGCAGTCCTCTTCAGGGAAGGACAGACTTATTTGAAAGGGCGTTTCATCTCTATCGCGAGGGGTCAACTGCGGGAAGTTGTTTATGGAGACAATTTCTTATATAAAAGCAAAGATGAAGTCATTCTTGATGAGAAGCCAAACTTGACTGAACTGCCAGAAGGAACTTCAGTCGTTGGAGAAGATACGAGAGGGATCTTAAAAGAGGGAAAAATAAAACGAGTATGTAGTTCAACTCAGTGCACCATTGAAACCGATGGTACAGAATGGCAGAGCAAGTTAGAAAATGTTCGAGTCTTCAGAGGAAATGTGTGTGAGAAATATCTGTATACCTAAAATGCAAAAACAAAATAAATCTAAGAGACTAGTTATTATTTATCATTTGTAGCTCACAGTTCAAGCTGCACACCAACACATTAGTTTTTTCTTAACTGCGAGTAGAAATAAGAGAGGTAAATTTCATCGTAACTCGACCAAAATCCTCCAGCGCTCCTCCCCCGGTGAAGGGGGAACGGGGGGAGGGTGGAGGGAGTGGGGGAGGAGCTAGACTATCATGAAAAAAATCCCCTTCCATAAACTTTAGAATAATAGTCTAGGAAAGGATATAAACCCTTAGTCATGCTAGGTTAACGGAGGTGGTTCCTTTTTTTTCAATTTATAGCTAGTGACATTGTTAAAATCATATTAAAAAAACATGTCGGGCTTCCATTCTCAACCTTTTTCGCTTTTTAAGCGTATTCGTACCCTCAGGGTTGTTTGATCCACATATACAAGAATACAACTAGTTTTGAAACTAAAAGATTCTACAGGAATGATCCAATTCTACTGGGGCTACCAGTATATCAACATAGGACGACAAATTGAAGTCAAATTTAAACTGATCATTTTTTTAGCCATCGGCACAAGTCGATGTGTCTTTGATTCTTAGATGCTTAATAAAGATCATTTTGAACACATGTATCGCAGGCATTAATTCTTTCCTTTTTTTGTATTCACTTTTGGTGGCAAATGGTGCTTTAAAGTTGGATTAAGAGTAGTGCACCCAGGGACGAACTTGTAGGGTACTTTGCACTTTCGGATGCCTGCTCGAGTCGAGACGCTATCTGATCGTTTCTTTGTTGGCTTGTCTTTTCACATTTGTTTCTTTCATTTGTTGGAGGATTTGTGTTAAATTAATATGTTTTTTCATTGGCCAGAGTATTTTCCCCACCCTCAGACACTTTAGGGGTTCCACTGAAACGGCTCCAAAATTAACTAAGTTAAACATTAGATTTAAAAAAAATATTGCTTAAAACGAGATGAGCTCCCGATTTTGGAAGGACTTTCTGAATGGCACCAAACGAACTGTGAAAGAAAACTGAAGAAAGACATATTTTTAGCGACATAAATGAGATAAATATGTCTAGAAAGGCACCTTATTGAGGAGGGTCCTCTTCGCAGCAACAACGCACGCGCAGCACTAAAGCAAGTAAATAAACGGTCCGCTCACAGTACCGCGGCCCCGATTAACTCAGTAGGGCGAGCCAAACGGGATAACTTCCTCTATAGGGTTCCATGCAAACGAAGCAAAGTATAAATCGGAGCAAAAGGGACATTGATGTACGAACAGAATTAAAAGTTTTGAAAGGGGAAACGATTTGCTAACATCTCAGCACTCAGTGGCTTAAGAACACCCTCTAAATAAGCACACGTTATTCTTGTTTGAAACCTGGCTTAGTTTCTAATCGTAATTCTCACATTTACACAGTTAGGGTGTTAGCAGCCATTCGCACAAAACTTCATCAAGATTTTGGGGTCATCCTCGGTGTAAAAACCTGACGACGTTTTCTTTGTTTCATGAGCTATTGTTTTGCTGTATGCTATTGTTTATAATATTTTGTTGTCATTGCTCTTAGTCACTCGTGAGCTTCACTGGTTTTTACACCGAGGATGAGCCAGATTTTGTAGACAAACAGGGATATCGAAAACTTCTCGGTATGGATTCCCAAAATCAAATTGCGAAACAGCCTGTAGGTGACAAAGGGCAGCAGAACAATGTCTACTTGTTAGAATAATAATGCATTCGAAATACACTACCGAGAGCACGCAAAAACGCACCAGAAGTATGTTGCTCTCAGGCTTCAAAAGTAACAACGCGCAAACATCCCAACCAATCGCTAATTTATGCAACAAAATCTTGCTTACGAGGTCGAAGGTGAAAAATTTTGATACGAAATTATTCATCGCCAGTCGAATACTTGTGGCAAAGAAGTTCACTCATGGCAACGTACAAATATTCCATTCTGTAAATGGCCGCTTTACATCAGAGGTAAAGCAGAGGAAACTCGAGCAGTGATAACCCCAAAGGAGATTAGGACTTAAATTACCTCCCTTAAAATGTAGTCTATTTGCTTCTGTCATGATTACTTAATTAGGAAAGAAAGAAAGAGAGAAACCATTTCATATTCATCGGCGATTTTCTTTGATTACAAACCGAAGAAAAAAGGTACAGCCACACTATCAATCTGCGCATTAACCCGCTACAAAAGCCCCGGCTTTCCAAGCAAAATGCATAATTGGACATCAGAGTAACTTTGAGAAATGATAAAGCAACTATTTTCGTATGAGCTTTAAGAATGTGTTTAAATGACTTCTAAATCAGTATTAAGCCTCACTAAGCTCACAAGGAAATTTTTCCCCGGCACTATCACCGCACTTGTTACAAAAGATAACATTTATTTTAAAACGAAAAAGAGACACTCGAACATGTATTGAACCAGCTCAGTCATTTTCCTATAAGTTGTTCTCGATAGTTTTCTTTATCCAATCAATAAATGGATACACCCTGGTAAAGTATCCATACTGATCCTTTTGTGCGCAGCCCACTCCCCAGCTGACCAGCCCAGTAGCTATCCAACGGAAGTCTTCTCCTCTTTTTGCCTCACGGACGAAAGCTCCTCCACTGTCGCTATGGCAAGTATCATTTCCTCCCTTTCCTTCCCCGTCACAAAACATCACTGTTGAGTTAAAAAAAGTATTGTGCTGATTTGTTAGGGAAAAGTTTGTCGCTTTGAATTGTAAATGCTGAGTATTGAAGACGGGCTGATTAGCATTTTTCTTCTTTGGGTTTTTCTCCAAGTTTCAAGGCCTGTGTTACACCCCAACCTGTTGCTATGCCAACAAATTAGGGATTGCCAAATCCCTGTCATCCTTTTCTGGAATACACAGTGTCCGCACAGAGGGGCCAAGTTCCACTACTCTTTCATCGTCGAGTTTGACCAGAGCAATGTCATTTGCGAATTTATTATCAGCGTAATTTTGATGAACAAAAATCCTCTCCACCTCTACTTCAATCTGAGATTTTTTAACCCTCTCCAAGTGGCGGTCACCCACTGTCACTTGGTATCTGCGAGATGAAGAGTAGTTGTTGTAAATACAGTAAGCCAGGTTTGCTTCACCTACTGCGGAAAGATTGAGTAGTAGAGGTTTTTTGAGAAGTATTCACCCTGTGAGTGATTTCAGAAATTCGAAACCAATTTTCTCGCGGAATTTTCTCTGCCTTTGAATGTGAACTTTCAAATACAATAAAAAATGATATCTAATTTGACTACACATATACAAAAGGCTCTTTAAACTTCAAACGTAAAAAGGATTCGTGCTTACTTATTGGACAAATCGTCGAGAACACGAACCCCTCGAAAATCTTTGTGATAGAAACAATGTGCAGCCGTCAGAACCCAACGACGAGAAATCAGAGCACCACCGCAGATAAGCACACTTTCCACTGAAAAGGAGAAAGTAGACAGATATAAATTAATTAGTAATCTCCACTAATACATTTATATATATATATATATATATATAGTCGTTAATGGAACTCTCAGGCCAACAAAGATGCACCTTATATATATTTAGTATAATTTCAAAGCTGAACAAAGAGTTTCCCGCAATCTCATTGGTCGAGCGGTTCCTTATATGACGCTATATAAACCGCACCGCTCCGCGCGGTTTATATAAAATGTTAAACTAAAATGTTAATAAATGTTACTAAAATGTTATGATTTTAGAAATTTTTCTGTTGTTCGCTCTGAAATTATACTAAAACAATTATTCGCCTCAGGTTCGGTGAATATTGTCGAATAATCACCTCGACTTCGTCTCGGGGAGTATTCGACGATATTCGCCTCGCCTTCGGCGAACAATTTTTAAATATAAAGTACGTGTAAAACGATGAAACATGAAGCAAACTTTTAACTGTTCCAGCTTTAATGTGGCGACGTTTCGGCCTTGGGCCTTCTTCAGGTGGAACGTATTTACATAAAAACTAAAAACTAAAAGTCCCAGTAGGTTTACAGAATGACCTGAATTTATACTAAACGTAAGAAATATAAATAGTATTGCTTAGTGCATTCCAGACCTAAATAATAGGATATAGTAATGAGTAAAAGGCAAGAATGCGCAAGGGGCGAAATAACCACGATTGGTTGCGAAGAACTCAATTACATTGTGTAAATGATGCCCTAATTACGTATTATAGCGGACGCGATTTTTGGATCTGAATTCGCGTCTTTTGTTAAGTCCGTGGGGACTAAGTGTACAAAGTTGTGCGGTCCAGTAGGCCTCTCTCGTAAGTAATAATCTATCTGCGTCCCTTGGCTAGTAATTTTCTCAATAACAATAAAATTAATGTCAGAAATTTCGTGTTTGGTACAATTGAAGTGGTCTGCAAGCTGTCACGTTTTTTTGTTTGTTCGCATAGATGACTTGTGATTACGAAAACGCACCTTCATTTCAGTGGAAGTAGAACCCACGTATTGTAAATTGCATTTCTTGTACGAGGCCAAGTAAACAACATTTCTGGGAGAGCAAGACAAGTTTTGGCAAATCTTATAGGTTCGGCCTGTGGAAAAACTCTTAAATTTGGAATCTTGAATTAAAAAATTCTTGCAAAGGTTGCATCTATAACAGCATTTAAAACACCCTCCCGTTACCTTCTCTGCCTGACTAACTTTCCCACCTACATAAAATCTAGAAGGCGCCAAAATGTCTTTGAGGTTTTTGGTAAGGCGATATGCTGGAAAAATCGATTTTGCTGGAAAAATTTCCGATAACTCAGGTGACGATCTTAGGAGATGAGCCATTTTTTTGTGCATTACTAGCTTCGAAATACTCTAAAAGTTTGACCTACCCGCAGACCATGGAAAGAGACAGAGTTGCTTCACCTCTCCAATTTCTCATTCTTTTACACAAAGTATATCCAACGTCGCATTAATTTTGTGAACAGGAAGAAATATTTACGCGGTAAAATATGAAAAATTGATTTCAAAAAGGCATAGTAACATTTTCCTAAACGAATAAAATGTGATATCTTTTTCAGCCACCTGTCGGTGGAAAAATTGAAACATTCTCAACCAGTTCTCACTCAGTCTTTACAAGTCCTAATTATTACACGACATAGTTATGTCTTTACATTTCCAACATCTACAAGAGTGTTTGGATGTAAGCCTGCTTTTCGAGGTAAGAACTAACATCATGAATAAACTTTATATTCTTGTCCTCTCTACCTCTTAAATAGTAAGTGTTTGAATTAACATTAAAAATCACTTCTTCGAAACCTAACAGCATTGCTTTTTGTATGATGTATGAGATCCTCTGGCACGAAATCTCTGCTCTAGAAACTACTGGTTCAGCTTTAATATACATACAGTGAATTTTGTCTCAGTCGTTATCTCGAATCACGCGTACCACGTCTGCATCACTTTTAGGTTGCATCATACCAGGCTCCGCAGTCCTCTTCAGAGACGGACAGTTCTTTGAAAGGGCGTTTCGTTTCTATCGCGAGGGATCAACTGCGGGAAGTTGTTTATGGAGACAAATTTTTATATAAAAGCAAAGATGAAGTAATTCTTGATGAGAATCCAAACTTGACCGAACTACCAGAAAAAACTGCGGTCGTTGGGGAAGATCCGAGAGGGATCTTAGAAGAGGGGAAAATAAAACGAGTGTGTAGTTCAATCTAGTGCACTATTGAAACCGACGGTACAGAATGGCAGAGCAAGTTAGAAAATGTTCGAGTCTTCAGAGGAAATGTGTGTGAGAAATATCTGTTTACCTAAAATACAAAAATAAAACTTAAGTCTAAGGGACCAGTTATTGTTTATTACCTGTAGCACACAGTTTAAGCTGCACACCCAAAATTTGTCATTTCTTAACTGCGGTCAATTTCATCGTGACTCGACCAAAATCCTCCAGCCCTCCTTCCCCGGTGATAAATAATGACATAATTTGAATATATCAACAAAGTTGAAATGGTAAATTGGGCCACCGTAACGATTACAAAAGCTTACGTTTCGAGCGTTAACCCTTCGTCCTTCGCTCCGACGAAGGGCTAACGCTCGAAACTTCAGCTTTTGTCATCGTTACGGTGGCCAATTTACCATTTCAACTTTGTTGATATATCCAAATTATGGTNGGGCCTCCATTCTCAACCTTTTTCGCTTTTTAAGTGTATTTACACAATCAGGGTTGTTTGATCCATTAATAGATGACTGCAACTAGTTTTGAAACTAAAAAATTCTACAGGAATGATCCAATTCTGCCATTCAATTAACACAGGACGACAAATTGAAGATTTAAACTGATTATTTTTTTTTTGGCATTCAGCACAAGTCGGTGTATCTTTGATACTTAGATGCTTAATAAAGATCATTTTGAACATATGTATTCGAGGCATTAATTCTTCCCTTTTTTTGTAATCAATTGTGGAGGCCAATGGTGCGTTAAAGATTGATTAAGAGTAGTGCACCCAGGAACAAACTTGTGGAGTATTTTGCACTTTCGAATGCATGCTTGAGTCGAGCCGCTATCTGATCGTTTCTTTGCTGGCTTGTTTTTTCACATTTTTTTCTGTCATTTGTTGGAGGGTCAGTGATATGTTTGTTCATTGGCCAGAGAATATTCCCCACCCTGGGACACTTAGGGGACTCCATTGAACGGACAATTAACCAAGTAGAACATTAGATTTAGAACAAATATTGGTTTAAATGAGATAATGTATTCAAAATGTCTTTCCCCTTCAGTTTTCTTTCACCGTTCTTTTGGAGCCATTCAAAAAGTCCTTCCAAAATCGGGAGCTTAATGAGATAAATATGTCTAGAAAGGCATCTTAGTAAGGAGGTTCCTCTTCGCTGCAACAACGCACGCGTAGCACCAAAGCAAGTAAAAAAACGCTCAGCTCACAGTACCGCGGCCCTGAATAACTCAGTAGAGCGAGCCAAACGGGATAGCTTCCTCTATAAAGTTCCATGCACACGCAACAAAGTCTAAATCGGAGGAACAGGGACACTGCTGTACGAAAAGAATTAAAGAATATGAAAGGGGAAACGATAACATCTCAGCACTTAGTGGTTTCAGAACACCCTCTAAATAAGGACACGTTATTTTTGTTCGAAACCTGGCTTAGTTACTAATCGTAATCCTCACCTTTACACTCTTAGGGTGTTAGCAGCCATTCACTCAAAACGTCATCAAAATTTTGTCGACAGAAGCAGCGAAATCGAAATTCTCTTGGTAATAGATTCCCAAAAGCAAATTGCAAAACAGCCCGCTGTAGATGACAAGAGGCAGCAGAGCAATGTCAACTCGTTAGAATGATAATGTATTCGAAATGCGCTACCGAGAGCACGCAAAAATGCACCAGAAGCATGTTGCTTTTAGGCTTCAAAAGTAACAACGCGCAAACATCCCAACTAATCGCTAATTTATGAAACAAAATCTCCTGCTCCAGAAGCCGAAGGTGACAAATGTTATACGAAATTATTCATCGGCTGTCAAAGACTTGCAGCAAAGAAGTTCACAAATCGCAATGTACTGAAATATTCCATTCGGTGAATGGCCGCTTTAGATCAGAGGTAAAGTAGAGGAAACTCAGGCAGTGATGACCCCAAAGGAGAATAGGACTTTAATTTCCTTCCTTAAAATATATTGCTTCTGTCATGATTACTTAATTAAGAAAGTAAGAAAGAAACCATTTTATATTCATCGGCGATTTTCTTTGATTACAAACCGAAAAAAAAAAGACACAGCCCTACTATCAATCTGAGCATTAACCTACAAAAGCTCCGGCTTTTGAAGCAAAATGCATAATTGGACATCAGATTAAAGTTGAGAAATGATATAGCAACGATTTTCGCATGATTTTTAAGACTTTGTTTACAAACGACTTCCAAATCAGTTTTAAGCCTCAGCCCATAAGGAAATTTTTCCTCGGCACTATCACCGCACTAGTTACAAAAGATAATATTCATTTTAAAACGAAGAAGAGATACTCGAACATGTATTGAACCAGCTCAGTCATTTTACTATGAGTTATCTTCCATAGTTTTCTTTATCCAATCAGTAAATGGATACATCCTAGTATAGTATCCATACTGATCCTTTTGTGCGCAGCCCACTCCCCAGCTGACCAGCCCAGTAGCCACCCAACGGAAGTCTTCTCCTCTTTCTGCCTCACGTACGAAAGCTCCTCCACTGTCACCATGGCAAGTATCATTTCCTCCCTTCCCATCCCCGGCACAAAACATCACTGTAGAGTTGAAAAAGTATTTCCCTGATTTGTTAGCGCAGAGTTCGTCGCTTTGAATTGTGAAGGCTGAGTACTGAAGACGGGCTGAGTAGCGTTTTTCTTCTTTGGGTATTTCTCCAAGTTTCAAGGCTTGCGTTACACCCCAACCTGTTGCTATGCCGAATTTTTTAGGGATTGCCAAATCGCCGTCATCCTTTTCTGGAATACACAGTGTCCGTACAAAGGGGCCAAGTTCCACTTCCTTGTCGAGTTTGACCAAAGCAATGTCACTTGCGAATTTTTTATCGATGTAATCTTGATGAACAAAAATCTTCTTCACCTCCACATCCATCTGAGATTTTTCAACCCTCACCAAGTGGTGGTCACCCGCTATCACTTGGTACCTGCGAGATGAAGAGTAGTTGTTTTAACGAAAATAGTTTGGCTAAACGTTTGGTTCACCAACCAAGGAAAAGCTGGTTTTGGTCATTTTCCGAGAGGTATTCGCCATGTGAATGATATCAGAAATTCGAATGCCTTTTTACCACAGAATTTTCTCACCTTATAAATGTGAACTTTAAAATCCAATAAAAAATGATATCTAAAACCATAGATGTTAAAAGTTACTTTAGACTTCAAACGTAAAAAGGATTGATGGACTCGGTGCTTACTTATTGGACAAATCGTCGAAAACACTAGCCCCATGAAAATTTTTGTGGTAAAAACAATGTGCAGCCGTAAGAACCCAACGACGAGAAATCAGAGCACCGCCGCAGATAAGCACAAGTTTCCCTGAAAAGGAGAAAGTAAACAGATATAAAAACAATAATTAGTAATTTTCGCTAATAATTACTTATCAAAAAAAAAAAAAAGAAAACCGCCAAAAGAGAATTGAGCCCAAAAAACAATCACGCTTGTTGTGTGGGGTTTATATGCAGAACAATGGAGTCATTCTATTAGTGGGAACAAAGTAACGTTGATACCACGGAGATCAAGAGTTCCCAATTCCAAAGATAAATCTTGGTTCTAGAGTATTTTTGAGTAGTTTTCCGAAATGCCCATATGTAGATGTAGGCCGCAGACTGCCGTGTATGGGGTAGAATAATATGCCCAAATCATTCAAAGCAGCATATGGAAATATGATGGAAATAAAATGTTATTCGCGCTTTTCTTGTATGTACAGCATTCAATGAATGGGCTAACCGAAGCAAATCTCCAAATCAAATTACCGTCTGAGTTGAGCCTGCGTAGTCCAATCTGCCAGGGCCACCAGCCTCTTTTCGAATTCTTGCCACCGACCATTCTCGCCCTCAGGTCAACCGGACTTACACCACAGGGTTTATAATCTGTGAACAAGAAACAAACATAAAGTCATAATCACTTCAAAGTAGACCGGTTTACTGCAATGCGCTTATATTCTTTCTTTTCTTGTCCTATCTTTTCTGTATTTTTAGATAATACTTTGTGGAATAAGATGGTCGATCTCAGCTTTCAATTAACACTTCACTCTTCTACACCCTTGAACCGAAACCATTTTGAATCAAGAGCCCCGATTCATAATTGACTGCAAAATACAGAGGAATCACAAGCGACGGAATTTAAGCTGATATTATCAATTTACGACATACCGATCTTGATGTAAGTCGCTCTCTTGATGGCTTTCTGAAGATGATTGTAGTCTCTGACATGGAGCACATGATTATCGGCTGCTTCAGGTGAGGCTATATCCATCAGTTCACGAGCGCGAACTTTCTTTCCAACTCCTACAGGGTAAGATGTTGAGTGATAGTGGGCAAAACGAAAACTAGTGATAAAAACTAGTGATGAAAACTAATGGTAATAATAGCGGAAAAACCAAGTTAATACATCGGTGTCATTTAAAGATAGCGCTCCTCGCATTGCTAAGAGTTGAATTCCCCTTTAGCCCAACCTCAGAAATGAGGGCTGCTTACAAAAATGATAATCGGAACTGGAGGTAGAGACCGTAACACTGTGAAATTACGTCGACTATATATCTGAAGGTAAATAACCCTACAGAAATAATATATAGAAGTGTAAACTGTACTCTTCCAGGGTGCTTGGGTCCAATTATGGGGAACGAGCGCTTGTGTGAATGTCAGAAAAAAGAGTAAAATGTCTTCCCAAGAGCGTCCTTTAATAAGTTTCTTAAACTTAACTTTCTAGAAATCTTCAAGTGCCCCTGTTTCAAATTACTGCCAAGTTACTTTACCTATTGCGTAGATCTCAAAGTTTTCCTGTTCACGAAGATGCTTCGCTAACTTTTTAGGCGGACCCCCAATGTTAGACATTCCATCGGTGATGAACATCAACACACGGTGTCTGTCGGGACGAGCTTGTGGCACAACGACATCTTTGACCTCTTGTAAAGCAAGTGCTGAGGCCGTAGCTCCCCCAATGTAGATTATATCATCAATGGCTTTGATTGCTTTATCCATGGTGTCGACCTTTGCGTCTCCTAAGTTAAATTCAACTTTCACGTCCGTCCCAAAAGTCACGGCTGCTACTCGTGTTCCATCAGCTCTACGAGGAGGTTACAAAAACTGAGGATAAATTTCTTGATGTTATAGCTAGTGATGATATTGCTCACAATGAGCATCTATTAAATAGTTAATTTGGTTAGGCAGGGGATGTTAAAGAACCCACTCAAGAGAATACTGTGATGTGGTCTGGCCTGTTTGCTGGAATTAGGGGGGGGGAGGGGGGGTAGGGGGCATCTTCAAATATGTTTCCTTCGATTATTGTAAACTGCTGATGCAGTCCGGCCAAAGTCCCCCGAAAAGTGTTGGGATGCGCATTTGATCATATCCACATGTTAAATTGCGCAATATAAATCTTAAATTATTATTATTATGATATGAGCACTCTTAGGATAGTTAGAACCGTCATAAGCTATTTTTAGCTAGTAACAATGACAAAACTTGACAACGGTTTCCTCGAATTTGCGGTCATTAAAATTTCAAGTAGTCTCACATTGTAGCATTTATTTCGCATCTTATTCTGTAGAAATTGTGGAAACTATCTCCTCTGGCTTCTCTCTCCATGAGGTCTTGTGCTCTCAACTTTCAAACTTACGACGTGGACATTTTCAATGCGGTTACACCAAGCAAAGGAGAATGGAGAAATGACCTGTCTCGTGCATTAATGGTCATTGAGAAGAAGAAACAAAGTTACGAGATTTATTCTTCTGATTTACCTATAAGGGGTACATTCCACAACCGTTCTTAAGACGCGAGCCATTTGCTTGCGTTTTGGACGTTATAACACAAGAAATTAAGTTTGAAGTGGTTTGTAAACTACTCCATCCGTGTGTTCAGCTCCTTAATTAGCGATATACTTATTCTTCAAATTATTAACAGGTTGAACAAGTAGAAAAGAACTCTGTCCCTAAAAATTAATCGTACCTTTTGCTGGCGCCAATGGTTCTAACCAGCTCTTTTGCAAATTCCAAACCAAACTTGAAATCAGTCAGCTTTCTCACACTGCTTGATGCATCGATGACGAACACAAGATCTAAGCCACCCCTTGAGTTCAAATTAATGGCTCTGCCTCTGAAATCCATGACACGAATACTTGTCCTGTTGCATCCAGTGCTGTTATCGCTGTTACACGTGTACTCTGATAAAGGATCAAGCAGATTTTTGCGAAGATTGTAGGCAGTGACGTTAACACCCTTAAACCGATCTTCGAATTCATCTGTAGAAACAAATTGATGGAAAGAACTCTGAGAAAACTGCAGTTCATCAGAGCTAACAGCACATGCTACTTAGAAATGATTTCGTTTGTCGTATACTAAGGCTGCAGGTAAAAGAATGCGACTTTTGTGCGACCTGCACTTATCATTACCCCGACAAATTGCGTCCGTGCCATTCCAAGCTCCGCTATCCAAGCATTTTCTTACTGCGGACCCCTTAAGAAGAAACCCGCGTTTACATTCGAATGATACAATGTCTCCCTTGTTGTATCCGCTGCCGTATTTACGTCCGCTTATTGGAGTACCTAGAACGGGACAGTCGGTATCTGAAAGAGAATTACAAAAAAAAAGTTTTTTTAGTCGAGGATTCACTTTTGATAAATCACTGACTGATTGACCGACGTACTGACTGACAGACTGACTGAACTGAGCGGAAAGTCAGTATCTGAAAGAAATATAAAGGGCAAAGGCTCTTCAGTTGACTGACTAACTAACCTACAGGCTGACTAATTGACTGATTGATTGACTGACTGACTGACTGATGAAGTACGCAGTTACTGACTGACCAACTGGCTTACTGACTGACTAACTCACTTCCACCCACAGACTGACTCACAGACTGACTGACTAACTGAATGGAATAGGATAGTCATTACTTACAAGAGATGTAAGGAGAAAGGCTCCTTCGTGGAAATTGCCCTTTTGCTTTACCCCATAAGGAACACTACTGATTGACTGGTTGACTGATTGGGTGAGTGACTGACTGACTGACTGACTCTTTCACTGGTTGACTGACTGACTGACCAATGGATGTCCCGGCCGGACCAATACTCATGGTCTTAAAATAAGTGGGGAGAATTTGCTACCTTTCTATGGTAGAAATGGATAGATATACTAGTCTTCTAGGATAAGGACGAATAAACCGTAGGCCCCGTCTCCTGCAGGGTTAGGGATAGGAGACGTTAATTTCCCACGCACGAGATTACTGGGGGGTGGATGTCCTCCCGTGGGTGGGATGGGTGAGTGTTGTCCCTGAAAAGCCCTTATGGGGAGTGGTCAGTTAACCTATGTATGTATGTATGTATGTATGTATGTATGTATGTATGTATGTATGTATGTACTGACTGAAGGACTGACTGACTAAAAGACTGGCTGACTCAAGCATTGACTGACTCAAATACTGGCCACCTTATTATAACACTGACTGACTAACTAAATGACTAACTGACTGACTAACTGACTTACTACTAAACTGACAATCTAATCAAAGAGATTTTTTATCTCACTCTGTCCTTACTTGAATTGTGCTGGGCTATTTATGCCTGATTGGCATAAACAGCCAGCTTTATCTATATAAAGCCGGGATAATACGAGAAGTAAAAAAGAAATAAAGAGCGAATAACCATTGCCACTCTCTACTGCATTTCAGAGAAGCTTAAGAAAATTCTGACTTACTTCCATCTTGACATGTGGCCAAAGTTCCATTCCATTCCTTATTCTCCTGGCAAGTCCTTTCCCTTGAGCCAGACAATTGGAAACCAGACTGGCAGGAAAACTGCACTGTACTACCAATTCTAAAATATCGATCTTGATAGTAACGATCACCATTCTCTGGTCTCCCAGGATCTGGACAAGATTTTACTACAAAGCAGTATCGTTTATGGTTACGAAAATAATAACAATAATCATTTCTTTAAAACTTGATAACATCACGAAATGTTATCAGTGGGATATTCATGTGGATATTTATTTTCCAAAGCCTGTTGTCGTATCTGATTGGAATTGAAAGACTTAGCATTTTTGGAATGATGAACAACTGTGCAAAGATCATCCTTGGTGATGATTGGTAGCTAGGTTTTTGAGGACATTGAACAACGCCAAACAGAGTACCGGTATACATGTAACTCTAGGGTTCAGTTTCTCAAAAGTCCCAATAACTTAACGGGCGTTTCAAAATTTAAAGGATAGGAAAGCAGGTTCTGGCACCCAAAAAATTCCTTTTTGTTTCTTCGGCAGATAGTTTTATTGTATCATTTTCACAACTTTTGAGATCCCCATCTTGAATGAAAACAGAACAGCTTTATGGGCCGAATAAGTTAACAGGACTTTCAAGAAACGGGCCCCAAGATTGAAAGTCAACCCAGACCACAGCACTGAGGGTAAACCCTTGAACTGATAAGCCATTCCTGTCTCTTTCTCCCACATAATTAATTAAATCATTATTTTATTCCTTAAAACATGCTTACTAGCGCAATATGGTGATCTTCTGGGGCTCCAACCAAATTTGAGGCAAGTCATCGTGTCACTGCCTCGTAGCTCATACCCTTCGTTACACTCAAATGCAAGGGTAGCTCCATACAGGTATTCAGGGTCAGAGGTGGTGACATTTCCATTTCGAATGACAAGTCTTCGTGGCTTTACACAACGGATTTCTGTAAACAAAAATGAAATACTATTTAGCGATGTGGAGAGATTTCCATAAATGTGTAACACTAATTCTAAAACAGTCCTTGTCCCAAAGCAAATAAACTGTTTCGCCATTATTTTTATAAAGAATTGTATGCATACTGAAGTACGGGGTTATATGGAGATCTTTCCAGTTACATTCCCATTCTACACAATTTGAAAGCAGGACCTCCATTAATAATTTTGCGGTTAAAACGATCTTTTGTGCTAGCGCATCTCTTTCAGTTTACTTACGTGTACAAGTCGGACCACTTGACCATTTCCCATTATGAAGACACGTTCTCCTTTCCGGTCCATGAAGTCGATAACCTTTTGAACAAGTGTATTTTAAAGTATCCTCGTAGTTATAACTTAAGCCGCTCACGTTAGCATTAGGAATGTCCTCGGGTTTTCCACATGATCCTAACGGAGAGAACACAAATATATATTTTTAACCCCATAACAGGCGAAGAGGAAGAACCAAAGATGAATGCCGGGTTACTCTGGAGCACACTTACGCCATCTCTCGCATTAACTGCGACAACACAAATGAATGGGCGTGAAAGAGGATTAACGTAGCGGCCATTTTGAAGCTATGTCCATCCATTATGGCCGCTCCTGATCGCTACAAACAACTAGCAAGAGAAGAGGAGCATTTGCTGACAAGGTGAAGTAATTGTCGCTAAATTGGAAATTTTAGTCCGATTGTAAGGTACTCTCCTTGCCTATTCAATTTTGGTATCTTTATATCGGTTATTCCAATCACAATTAGTTTTAAAATTGTGAGTGTTGACTCTGTTGTCTTCCAACGCATATTTTCAGCCTGATATCTTCTAAGAGCTCTTATCTTTCAAGGACTAATCGGTGCGTGTGGCGTTTTATTGTCGTCTCTATTGGAAAGATTCTTGTATAGCCCAAACAAGGGATTTGAACTCTACTAACTATGAATAAATACAGGAAAAGTTATGGATGTATATTCATTTCCTTTGTATTTAATTTGCAATTATAGCCAATTCAGTATCGAAAGAAGCTTGTTAATGTTGTTGCATTTTCACTCAGACAATAACTTTAGGCGAACAAAATAAAAGCATTATTGTCGATTTGGATTGGAGCAATTAGAGTGCTTTTCGATTGAGTGCTGTGAAATCCTAGTCAGGTTAGATGTCACCAGGAGCCAATGAGAACTCGAACTGAAGTAAAAACAAGCAAACTGCCTGAAGCGTGGGAAACGCAAGTGACCAAAATCGTTAATAGTTTTGGTTTTGAATCTCATTGGTTGAGAAAGTGGTAAGAGTTCTCCGGAATAATCAGCTGACGATAACAGCAAAACCAAAGCAACCCCGGATAACTTTCGCAACTAAAATTATTGTTGTTTGTGCACTTGTATTAAGATTATCGGATTTAGTCATGAATTTAACTCACTTGGTGAACATTTAGGAGCCTGGGACCACTGTCCGTCTTTTCCGCATTTCCTTCTTTTTGGTCCTTCGAGTACATAGCCATGATCACATCTGTACTTTATTTTATGGTTGGCGCTGAAACGGGAACCAGAGAATGTGGCGTGTGGAATGTCATCGGGTTTGCCGCAATATACTGATAAAAAGAATGTGAGGAAATATATATGAGATTAAATATGCTAACAGTTTTTTACGTTTTAAATCATAAACTAAAACTTAATCATGGATTAGTGAAGTGCGTTCGATCTAGCTTTGGAATGGACATTTTTGAACCTTTGTAACAAAGTCCAATTTATGATTCAACTTATGAAGTTCAAATGTTGGCGTGGCTTACAGTTTTAATTTATAATTAGAGTTTTAATTACAGTTTTAATTTATAATTAATCGTACTCCTGATACTCTAAAATCCATGGTAGTTTATCAATTTTCTTGTGCGGGATGTAATTTCCGTTGTATTGACGAAACTAGTCGCCACCTCTCTACTNTTTGTCGGCTATTATTCTAAAATAGCGAACCTCAAACTCCGACAACTCACTAAGCGCTTTTGTAAATCGGACCTAAATATCAAACTAGTTTTCACTTCTTTCAAAATTAAAAACATGTTCAGTGTTAAAGATCGTACTCCTGATGCTCTAAAATCCATGGTAGTTTATCAATTTTCTTGTGCGGGATGTAATTCCCGTTATATTGGCGAAACTAGTCGCCACTTCTCTACTAGGATAAAGGAGCACACGGAAAGCGATAAAAACTCGCATATTTTTAAGCATTTTAACACATCTCCTTCTTGTAAGAACAAATACTCCCTTTCTTGCTTTAGTATTCTGGATTCTGCCAACAACTCAATTGATTTAAAACTCAAAGAAGCTTTTTATATAAATAAGATCAAACCTGAACTCAACAAACAATTACAGCATTATAACACTTTTCTAGCATTTTAGTTCACACCTTTAATTTCATGTTTGTTGTCACGCTGTAATTAGTACCCGCTTTTGTATTACATCATACTGTAAATATTTTATTCATCTACTTGTCTGTTATATAATTACTCACGTTCAGTTACTCATTGATTGAAGGTGGCATAAGCATGCCGAAACATGTCTCTAAAAAAAGTTGTTTATTTCTTACAATATATATTATAATTAATCATTTAGTTGGATTAGTTCGATCAAATGGCTCTAATTTATCCAAACCGAAGCGAGTCAACCCGCGGGACTTCACCTGAACACTTGGGTGTTTTGCTTGCGATCCACTTTCCATTCTTGCAAGTTCTTATGTCAGTTCCTTTTCGGCAAACGTATCTTGCCTTACAATAACCAGTGTGTATAGCCACTCTGGATTTTGGAGGCGGATTTTTTTGGGCTTCACGGAGAATATCAATGCATTTCTTGTCACATTCTAACACAAGAAGAAACAATGTAACTTGAAAGCAAGCATATGCCCAGTAAGGTAACATCTTTTATGTAGACAGTTAGATATACTTGACTTGGATTTACTCGCGTAGGTGAGATATGTTATAGGTTTCACCGACCCTAAATATTCAATCTTATCTTTGGGATTTCAAGTTAATTAAACTCATCTTCTGCAAGTGTTCATGAACCGAAATTAGAACTCGCTTCTGTTTACAACCCAGGGTAAAATCTTACGAAAGGCCAAATAAAGTCTCCCGCCGGTTTGATGTCAGCTGATGCATAAATACGCCCGTTTCTCCTACATAAAATTTCTTTTTAAAAGGAATGATTGCAGTTTTGTTAGTAAGCCTCTGTTCGCTATTAGTTTGACGTTAGGACCTACTTATATTAAGCTTTTTACTATAAAATAAAACTATACAGAGATTCCCAAAAGAGACTGGGACAATAGAAAACAACTTCATTAACTGATGGTTTGTTAACTCTGAATTCAAGGGGTAAACGCTTGAACTTCCGTAAAACTTACTACTTTTTCGGCTCATTACATTTTGAGTGGCCAACACCAGTGCAGTCAAAAACACGTACCATAGAATCTAGGAAATAAGAGAAAAGTTCAGTTTCTTTCCAGTCAATATTTCTAAGCTAAACAAGTGCTTAAAACTCAAGTGCGCGGTAAATTTAGTCATTTTCTCCTCTTTTAGCAGATTAGTTGATATCCAGAGGATCCTCGCAAATTTGAGGCCAATTTTGTGGCTAGCTCTGTCGAAGGGCTAACGCTTCAAACGTCAGTTTTGGAAAACTTTTTAACGGCGGCCATTTACGTTATCAACTCAGTTAATAATACCATAATTGTATTTATTTAATAGTTGTATTTATCGTGTTTGCGATATTTTTGGAACATATTCCTGATTGATTGAATGGTGTTCTATGGGAACTCCTTTAATCAAAGATAACTTCATTTAATTTTGAATTGTATGCAGAATGAAAGTTATCCTTTTAACTTAAGTGGGTGTTTGTTTTGAATGATAACTTCTCCTTAAAAGATCAGTGCATAATTCAGCGCACGAGTGATGAGAACTGATGAAAAGAGAATTAGCTCTACTCTTTCAGTGTGTTTCTTTGATTAAAGCCAAAATTCTTCAAACCAGCTTTTAGAGGAAGTGTATAGGAACTCTGTGGGAGAATCAATCTAAATTAACTCGACTATCTTGGTGATAATTATTACATTGTGAACAGCCTCCATGGTAAAGAATTTTATATGACTGACACCCTCGTATACCTTTCCAACGCCTTTATAGGGTACATACATTTAATAGACTCAAGCCTAAGCTTTTAAACATGCAGGTATAGGAGTATTTCAAGGAATAATTTTTGTCGCCTTTACTTTCCTTGCTGAAGGAAGAATCTTCCTTTTTAGCTTAGAGAAGGTTAAAGGTTAGCCAATGTTTTTCACAATACATAGAAACTCTTTGCTTTAACTAATAGCAAAATTTCTGATCGTATAATTAGATACTAAAACTTTTATTTTTGTCCAGTTTCGATTAAATTGGCATCATCGGAATATGATGAGAGTATTGACTTTTATTGATTAACACTGCTTGCTCTTTGCTGACGTTAAACGTCCCCCATCATGAAGATGATTAGTCGGATTAGTAATAACGTTACGTCCTTTTGTTGTTCTGTGCAGTGGCACTAGTCGTTCCATATCACTGAATCTTAATTTATGATAGTATAATGATAGTTGCGAGGCTTCTTCGCATACTTTTTAATTATCAGGGCTTTTAGAGTAAAAATCTCCTTTAACCCGATGATCGAAACACCCCGTCAAGATTAATTAATATTGGTTGATCCAGCACGTATATTTTTCCCTTTTAGTCCTTTCAGCTTTACTTGCGTTGCAGTGTAGAGTAAATTAACATCTTACCTGATATCGAAAAAATAGCATCTTGCTCTGTTTGGAGATTTAACTCTAGATAATGCTCAGAGCTTAGTGCATTCGAAGATATCTCTTTTCTGTTTCCGCTATTCGCTAGCGTGTCGAGATTGTTAATTCTTTCAGGATATTTTTACCGTCTGAGCGCTGCCTAAACACAAATGAACGGTTGCCAAAGAAAACAGTGTGCGCGCTCATTCAGAGCTTGCTGTCAATTTAAGCAGCTACAGTTTCAGCGGATGTTGAGGTCGTATATTGAGAAGTTTCAGGAAAAGGTCTGGGAAGTTATTTTCTTCCTGTGACAAAAAACATATTTTCTTCGCTTTATTGCGCCATCATTTCCGTCACTTTCGATGAAAACTGTTACATCTGCCATAGTTTCCTACTTGGTTAAGACGGTAAACTCTTTATGATAAATGAAATAAAGAAACATTGGAAATATACACAGTTGAGTGTAAAATTTAATATGACGGTTGGCCGACTTAACTGGTCTGATTGGTAACACCACATTGCTCAATTCTGATAAAAAGATAAACAGCAGGGGTTGGATGACCTCCAAATACACAGACCTTTTGATGAAATGAAAATGACAGCGCAGTTTCAGCTATAGTGATTTGGCTCACGTAGGGAAAATTCTGCACTAAAATAACACTTTGATGACAGATTTGTTCTCGTTTCCTGCCCTTGGTATCCTGAGAATAACAGCGCTCAAAATGAAGGAATCAAAAGATAACGTTACCGTTGACAGCTTGTCCGAATTAGTGTGCTGAAAGGAAAAATAATTTGGCACGTTCTTGCGTGTTTCTCATTTAATTCCTTTGCGTCTAAAACGCAGAAGCAATACCTTCAAAATACATTTCGTTTTCGTAAACACAGCGTACGGTGAAAACCATGCGTTGCGTTGTAAGCTTTATTTTCGGTCTCTTTCTGCTCCAGCTGGCAAGAGGCGAAGAGAATAAATCAGGTAAGTCATTGTGTGCTGGGCGGTAAAACTGATTATCTCTATTTCAAGTTTAATAAGTTTAGCAACGGGTATTTGTCATGCAACCATTGTAGATGAATAAAAGAGAAAAAAAAAGGGTGCAGAGACAAAAGATGACGGCCATTGAGATTTCGGTTTGAAATTTTGATTACGTTGTGGTATTTACTTAATTCTATGTATCAGTGAACTAAGTGTTGAACGTAACCGGACCTGTTAAAAATGTTCCTGCGAGATAAGTTTACCTTCCTTTTTTTTCTACGAAAATCCTTGTGTTCGAGCAACTTAGATACCGTGTTGTGTGGGGTGCCGCAAACTGAGGCAACCCTTTTAGTCGTGGGGTGAGGAAAAATATGCTTTCCCCAGGGGAGAGCTCTCCAATAACAAAATAGCCCAAGCAGTGGTATGTTAGATTTGTTCCAATTTCAGCGGGGTGCTTAGGGTAGCAAGGATAGCACAGGAAGTGAATCGGATCATGTAACGCAATAGCCGCTTGCTCGCTCGCTCCCGCGTTCGCGCGTGGTTATCGCGATCGTACATGACCAACGAGTAATTAGTTACACAGACACGCCGTTTGCGATTATAATATTGATTATTTAAATGTCCTGTCACCTTGAGCCGAGTCATTCTCTTGACAACAGCAATTATATTGTTTAATTGGTATTCGACGGTACAAATACTCTACTTACTCCTTATTTTGGGCTCAATAAAGAATTGCACAGCTCAAGATGATGATCTTTTTTTTTTTTTTTGATTATAGTCAAGAAATGCCTTGCCCTAGAAGCTCCGGAAAATGCTGAAGCAATTGGCAATAACACAGTTGGTTCTGTTGTCAAATTCTTGTGGAAAAAGGGCTTTTTTCGACTTGGAAGTCCTCACAGAATCAGGTGTAAGTCAAATGGACAATGGACTAAGCCTAATGTGTCTTGTGTTGGTGAGTACTGATAAAATGTTACTTTCATATATCATGGCTACGACTGTCCTTATGACTTTTTTGTAGCGTGTGTACAATACCATCAATCCGTGAATCTTTCCCTTTCTTGTAGTTGCTTGTTTTCTTTTCGTGGTTTCTGTTCGGTAAAGTTGTTTTATTTTGCTGATTTTGTCGCATTATTTCCCCTAAATGATATACAGTCGTTACCCATGTTTCACTTAGTAATGTTGACGATCCTTTTTTTTGCTCACATTTTGTTTATTTTAATTTAGTCATCGGATCGTTTTCCTTTTCAGCTGTAAGTTGTGGAGACCCTGGCTCTCCCTTGAATGGAAAACGCATGGGTTGGATATTTCAGTACAATCACAGTGTCACTTTCGATTGCCATCGCGGTTTTAAACTGGAGGGACCTAAAACAAGAACCTGCCTTGAGAACCAAACCTGGAGTGCCAGCCAGCCAGTTTGCAAACGTAAGATTAGAACATGAAGCAAGATTTTCCCATGTGTTTTAAAAATATAGCTTACAGTTAAAACAAATGATCATGCTCCCGTAGCAATGAAGTCTCTTGCGTAACGAACAGAATAAACGATTCCACCCATGATGGTAAAATGGATGATGCAACAAAGAGAGAACCGAGTCCCATTATGTCCTCATAATGAAACAAAACCCAACTTAAATAAACGAACCCCCGTTACGCCGAATTAGTTTCCCGCCCTTTAGCACTTCTTCATACGTACCTGGGTGTGCTTATTTTCGGGTTATTGTGGAATCCCCACAAAACGAATCCCTGACCATAGAGCGTAACCATCTAACCCGATAAAATGAATCCTTTTTTTCGTCCTCGACAACATAGTAGAAGTAAAATAAATGGAATAGTATTGCGTGAAAACGATCCAACGTTATGACAGAGACCTTTTTTGATCGAAATATTTTAGCTGTTCCATGTGAGGAGCCTCCAAAAGTGGTTGATGCGGTGATGTTAAGCGGTGGTTTCGTGTTTGGTGCACCCGTGTATTACACTTGTAGTGAAGGGTATAAATTGCAAGGACCAGACACGTTGGCATGTGGAGAAGATGGAAAATGGGTCGGTGAGACTCCGGTTTGTAAAGGTGAGTTTCTTGGTTGACTTTCGTTTCATACTTTTATTTTCACTCTACGTAGACGAAGCACGAAGTAAAATGAAATGGCCAGCTGCTTTCAAAATATTCCGCTCACAAAAAAAATTAACTTTGACAACAATAATCAAACATCAAAAGTGAGACATATTTGTGTCGAACAATAAATTCTCGACTTACCGTAACTCAGCGCATGAAATAACCAACCCCAACAAACAACAGCAACAAATGCCCACAGGGAGTGGCGGTGTAGCCGAATGGTTAGGGCACTAGACTCGTTGTTCCGGGCTCAAGCACTACACCCTGCTACTTACTGGATTTGTTCTCATTTGCCCCAAGTGCAACTACCTGGCTGCACCTTGTAGAGAACCAACTGGTCTCTCCTCTGCCATTTAGGAGTTTTCAACACTGGGTTTATTTGCAATGTTTGTTTCCATATTTTTTTCTTGGGAAGAGAAGAGTGATTAGGTAGCAGTCGATTAAGGCCATTGCTTATTATTATTAATTTTGTCGCTATCATTATTGCCATTACTATCATTATCATTAGTAAGTGTTATTACAATGAGATTTACCTCCTTTTGCATTCCCCTTTTAGCCATAACGTGTGCTGATCCGGGTACACCCCAACACGGTTCAAGAAATACAACCGGCCCTCCATTCAGTCATATGTCGTTAATCTTCTACGAATGCAGTAATGGATACATTTTGTATGGAACTGACAGGCGCTCTTGTAATGGTGACGGGGAGTGGACTGGGGTACAACCGTTTTGTGTTGGTAAATAAGTAAAGAGCTCTGCGCCTTCGATTAATGTTAAAGTGCACCTAAACCCAAAAAATTTTTTTCGCTTAACGAAATAAGCGTATTTTTTGGAGTATTTCTGTACAAAAAATATTTTATTTGCCCAGATCTTCAATTTTCTGTGCCCAGTCAACATGATACGAAAAAATCGGCCGCCATCTTGCTCCACGACCGAGTTTAGAGAGGAATGGCTCTAGCGGGTAATGTGTCGTCAAATCGAGAACGCGAAAGTCTGCATTTCACACATTTTCACTTGTATGGGAAGGTTGTAGTCGATATTTTCCGAAAATATGCCGACTAAGTGTGTTGCAGGAGGATGTAGCAAAGTGCGAAATTTGGAAGAGGGTATCGCGCTTCATACATTCCTCATACAACACACCTAGTCGGCATATTTCGGACAATATCGACGACAACCTTCCCAAACAAGTGAAAATGTGTGAAATGCAGACTTTCATGATCTCGATTTGACGTCACATTACCCGCTAGAACCATTCTTCTTTAAACTCGGTCGTGAGCCAAGATGGCGGCCGATTTTCCGTATTTTGACTGGGCACACAAAATTAAAGATTTGAGCAAATAAAAACATTTTTGCAAATAAATGCTCCAAAAAATAAGTTTATTTCGCTAAGCGAAAAAAAAATTTGGGGTTTCGGTGCACTTAAATGATAACTGGATGAAACAACATTTTTTTCGCTTTTTTTATACCTAATGGTGACAATCAGTTTCTTCCCCTACAATCATTGCGCTGTTTTAGTGCTTCTTTCGCTTTCCCTTCCTCACCGCTAACGACTATTCTCCATTTTATCCTGTTTTCACTCCTCTTCAATCCACTGTCCTTCAATCTTCTTTCCATTTTCTCTCACTTACTTTTTTCAAGCTGCCTCTCTCTTAACTTCTCAGCTTCAACTTATTAAAGCTGATTGTCATCAGCACGTTGTTGAGAGGAAAAGGCGAATTTAAATACTCGAGTGTGTTATTTTTCATTCATATATTTTTTATTCTATAGAATGCGCAGGTGTTAACACGCCGGTTTTCGTCAGGAATGGGCAACGTTTCATCCACGGAATAATTCAGCAAAAAAGCAAAAATATCGTGACGGTTCTGACTGACTCACCTAAAGAAGAAAGAGATGTTGTGATATTTGGACCTGGAACACAGCATTACATCATAGTGGAGGACAAACTCCCATCCTCGAAGAACGTCTTCTTGGGATCGCGTGTGATTGCAATGCAAAGAGGATCGTACATCTTTGCTAAGGTTGACGCGATCAATGGTGACAAGTATTCGGTAACATTTGAGGACAGACAGCGAACTAAGCGGACAGTGGCATTAGAGCATATCCGCAACTTGTTTCCTCCAACATTCTGTGGTACGTAAGTCATGGTGCCTTTAATTAAGCTAAGAAGTGTACTGAAGGGTTGAGGAAATCTTTAGTAGCTACCTTAAACAAAATCTGTCTGGATCATACGGTCAATCTGCTCAGCTCAACCTTCCCTACTATCTTATGGAAATGGCCACTACTTTCTTGTGTATCCTAACGGTAAAAAGCCTTACATAGCCTCACCCAAATAAGGACATGCTCCTTCTGGTTTGACCGCATCTTAAGAAGAAACTTTCCTATGGCTGTTACGTACCCCTATCAAACAGCACACCGCCTTGATATATTGACGTGAGCCACAAATGGAGCCTTTAAGACTTTGGATTAGCCCAACTAACAGTCGCCGTTCTATAAATAGAGCCAAGCTTCTTGGAAATTAACTTTTGGAAGCACGATTATCAAAGTCTAGGTTTAAATCTATAGATTTTAGAAATCTTGGAAAAAAATAAAAATTTGCACCCAATCTAAGACAGTTTTCTGACATTACACTGTTAATTTAAACCAATTAAGCAACATGTCCAGACCCTGGAAAACCAGACAAAGGCTTTCGAACAGACAACTTAGAGGAGTTCATAGTAAGGACCGAAGTAGAATTTGGTTGTGAAATAAATACCCAGCTGCTTGGATCAAGTAAGAGAACATGTCAACCAAATGGAAGATGGTCTGGAGAACAACCGACCTGCGAAAGTAAGTGTAAAATGATATTTATCAAAATGCATATTATTGAGAGAAAGAAACGAAAACCGCCCTGCAGGTGTCAGTGTTAAGTAAGAGGGATTCGCGTGAGGAAAAAAAATTCAAAGTACAGACAAACTTTCACCAAAAACTCGACGTCTTAGCGTCATTATGACACAGCTATATCGAGAATGAGGATTAGTCAAAGACAGAGCTGTGAAGACTTAATAGAGTTGGTAGTTAATAAGAGTCGGAAATATTTTATCTTGATTAATAAATGATCATCGCCTTTCCACCGCCTCGATTCGCCTCTGCTATTAGCTGTTAATTTGAGAGTCTTTTGTATTTATTTATTTAGTTATTTACTGGCTATGGTTTCTGTGAGCATCTAAAGATCAGACCTTATGAACGTAAGGTACCGAACAAAGACCCTGGCACAAATGGAGTCAGTTTGCACGCTTAGACACGGGCCTAACCTGTAACGATGCCTTTTTATTTCAGTTAGTCTGAATTTAAACGTGCATATCAAGATGTAATTTTTAGATGCATGAATAAAAAAAAAAAAAATGTTGCATCTATTTGCCAATAGTTACTTCTTGCTGGGATCTCGATGTCTTTCCTCCCAAAAACGGCAAACGAATTGGTGATGACTTTTCTATTGGAAGCACCGTAGCCTTTTCCTGTGATGAGGGATATGAGCTTGACGGAGAATCGAAGCTGACATGTCGTCCGGATGGTCAGTGGTCTGACAGAACGCCTTTGTGTAAAGGTATGACAAAGCAGAACCCCTTCTTTGCTTCAGCCCGTGTTAAAAATCAATAACTTTTTTTTACTTTCAATTTCCAACCAGATTCTCAATGGATCGATGTCCGCCAGTTCTTTTACTATCAGCTATTTGAATTTTCTATTCTTTCTTTTTGTTTGTTTGTTTGTTTGAGGAGGGAGGAGGGGTAGCCATCGCAATTCTCGGTGATCACTGCAACGTCAACGGGTGACCTCTATATGCTTTTCACGACTATGTCCATTATCAACCCCCCCCCTCCCCCCCGCCTTCTTGCATTATTTGGGAATTTGATTAAGGGGGCACGCGTTTGCCTTGGTGTCTAACAAGCTTCTTTTTCTCTTCCCCCGCCACTTTGACACTTACCTTAAAATGTTCCTGTTTTAATCATTGTTATAGAATATATGTGCAATTTGCCACAAGATTGTGTGTGAACGATTACCTAGATATGGAAATTGCAAATTTTACAGATCGCTGCGAGGGCGTGGTTTGTAAACTTGAAGAGAAGTGTGTTTATAACAGCCTCCAAGGGCCCAGATGCGTCTGCCGTAATAACGTGGACTGTCCTGCCGATTTACAACCCATATGTGGTTCTGATGCGAAAACCTATAACAATTACTGCATTATGAAGGCGACTGCTTGTCGAGAAGGCAAGGAGGTGGAGAAGGTCGCAGATAACTCATGTTCTCCTGGTATGTCTTCTTTCGTCTTGCTTCTTCTTTTTTTTTTTTTGAGGTTTCTTAATGCGTAGGCGACTATCATTCCCTAAAGCTGATGCTGGCTGAATAAAAAAACCCATAACTAATGCGCTTTTCTTTCTTAAGTTGTTTGTTTGTTTGTTTGTTTGTTTAAAGAAAAAAACATGTAACCTATGCACTAAGGTACTTGTACGTTACATGATCCTTTAGAATGGTTGTGGCAAAAAACAGTGATAATAGATAACGGGGCAATCATCATGTTAATTTGGAATGTTGTGGGTAGTTTATTTCTGAAACTCCAGTCATTGTAACAGGTCAAAAACTAATGACAGATTATTAACCGCCTCCCGGTTAGCATAATGGATAGAGCGCTGGACTGTTGTGCGGGAGGTCGAGGGTTCGAGCCCCGGCCGGACCAACACTCAGGGTCTTAAAATAATTTAGAAGAATTTGCTGCCTTTCTATAACATCAAGAAATGGTTAGATATTCTAGTTTTCTCGGATAGGGACGAATAAATGGAGGTCCCGTCTCCTGCAAGGTTGGAGTAGGAGACGTTAATTTACAGGGCCATGTATTAGAAAACTGGTTACTGGGTTAATCATGTATTTACCCTCTTAAAATAAAGAACATTGTATTGTATTGTATTGTATTGTATTGTATTGTATTAATCTGACGTGTTAACTCTACTTCTAAAATCAGGAGGAATTTGTCAGATAAACCCTGCAAGCAAATGCAGGGCTTACTTCAGAAATTTCTATTTCAACGTGACAAGCAATGTGTGTGAGCCAATCATTGCAGGTGGTTGTCACCCAAGTGGATGGAATGGTTTCCCTACCATGGAAGACTGCAACCGTACTTGTTCTGGTAGGTGGAGTCTACAACATAACTAATTAAAGATTTTCGATCTTTGGGTTCAGGGACCGTTATTATTTATGGCCGGGAGGGGAAAGTGGGGCTGCTGGAGGATATTGGTTGTGTAACGATAAAATTTACTCGATCCACCTAAGGTTCTGTAACTTCCTTATGATCATCTCCCCCACCTCTTTCTTTGGAGTTAATTGGCAGTCGACTTTCTATAGTCCACCCATTACGCTCTGTTGACGACGACTGATCCCCGGCCCCTCCGTCCCTCCTGTAAACCATGTGATCCCCAAAATCTTCCACCAACCCCTCCCTCTCCCCACAGGGGATAAAGAATGCCTGGTCCTTAATTGCTTTTTGAGTTGTCATTGTTCGACTCGAGAAAAGAGCACTAAAAAATTGCTGAATGGTTTTTCAGTACAATTGTACTGCAAATGAATCGCTCTAAGTTACTATTTGATTTATTCAATGCTTTCAGTGGACGTATGTAGCCAGCCTACTGAACCAGGTCCGTGTACTAACACCACACATCGGTGGGCATTTAGCCCCAAAGCTGGTCGTTGTAAACGATTCAACTATGGAGGCTGTTTTGGCAACGAAAATAACTTTGACAGCAAGGACAAATGCAATAAACGTTGTCCTCCTGTAAATACTGGTAAGGTGTTCCTCCCATTTGGTATTTTTGTCCCTCGTGATATTTGGACTGCTTCTCTCTTTTCCTTAGTGTGGTTTGTCGAAGTCAAGCAATGTAGTAGAATTTCCTGAGCCGAGCACGAGCGAAATAGAAGGCCGTGATAGGCTGCGTAGTAATTAATCTTCTGCGCAAACGGGAAAAGCATGGTGGTGAGAAGAGTGTATTGAACAGGAGTCACGCGTACTTGTGATTTCAAATCGAACTCGAGCTGTGCGCTCGTTCAATTTTGAAATCATGTGTATGATTTCAGACCAAATTGCACTCCGCTCAGCGCAACCTAACTATCATTGAGGTAAAACAGGCACTTGAGAAACCTTGCAGTATTTATTTTTTATTTTTTTTTTAATTACTGAGCATGATGAAATAATGCTGGTTTTTCTTAGATCGAGGGAACAAAGCCTGTCCAAGATGCGTTCAAAAGAGACTTCGTGAGGCATGCAAATCCAGTAGTATTGGTGAGTTGGCTTGTTGTCGACGAACGCTTTCCATAGAATTAAATATTGATAAAAGTAAACTAAAAATTATAGCAATGATGATGATAATAATAAAACGAAAACCCCTTTGTCTCTGTATTTGGTCGCTGTAAAGGTCCCAAGCAGCCAGTTTCATTTTCACAAAAGCTCGCCGAAACCCTTTACGGTGGAGCTCCTTAACCCATAACAGCAAAACATGTTAAACAGAATCCCGGTCGCTAGACTGATAAAGTGCTCTCACTCATGATCATTTATTTTTTCTGTCTGGGCTGCGCTGCGAAACGTGCATTGGTCAACACCATCGAACAAACTTACCTAGTTACCACTCTCTTAAATATTGATGTTTGTAGCAAGGTGTTTGGTAGGAATAAGATGACTGGAAGGATTAAGTTCGCTAAATTTCGGTGAGGAACCCATGTATAGTACGTTTATTACCCAGAGATTGCGACCACAACAAGAATAGATACTGATGGTCTTAGGGTCGACCATGTGCTGAAATTTTGCCTCGCGTGTTGTTTCCTTTCTCTTGTGTCTAAACTTTTTCTAAACAATTGTCTTTATTCGCAGCATTTGTAGGCAAAGTCGATAAGAAGTTGCCACATGATTCAGTCAAGAAACAAGCTCGTTATCAGGTCGTGATAAAGAACGTTCTCAGGAATACAGAGGGCTTTCCTACATTGGGAAGTGTTGTCGTCAATGTCCCTTACAGTAGGTCACCAGACTGCCCCTGCCCTTCGCTACCCCAAGAAACGTTCTTTCTGATGGGAAATGTCGTGGTTGAACCAAAAGGCAACAATGCAAAAGTTGGCATAACAGTCACAAAGCCTGCAGTTGTGCAAAAATGGAGCCAAGAGATCCTTCAGAAAATGAATAAAAAATGCAAAGATTTGGATTATCGTGAACTACTCTAATCTTCCAAAGTTTTATGGACAAACCACCCTTTTTTAATGTCAATGAAATTGAAAACAAAGTAATTATAAGGAGGATTAGATATTGTGACAGCGACGGCGTGCTCAAAGAACACTTCCTAAATTAAAAACGTCATAGCTTGGCTTTAAACTCAGAGCATGTGTTTTATTCGGCGTGCGTTTGCTTTGCATTTGCTTACTTGTGATAATTTTTTAAAAATAACGTTCGTCGCTTTTTTTTTTTTTGACTTGAGGAACTATGTGAACTGCGTTTTAGTTTAGTAGAGGCCAATATTTTATTTTTAAAATAACTCGCTTTGAACCAAAAAGTCTCAAACTATATCAAGGGGGTTTTAGGTGTGTGGTTAATAAAATTTGCATTTTCAAAGAGAGTCTCTGTTGATTCTACGTGTAGTATTTTTTCCCATGTAAGATCAACCTAATAAACTAGACGTAATGATGGGCACTATCTTTTTTTCTTTTTTTTCTTTTCTTTTCTTTTATTTTTTTAACGCAGGCCTTGTGCTTGCCTTGTCGCGCCTAAAAACCACCGAGTGAATATGACGCAGTAGACTTTATCGGACATAATAAAGGAAGGTCTTGGGATGGGTCTCCGCCGCTGGAGAGGATCATTTCTTATTCAAACAAAGCTGCTACTCCAAGGTTTTTCTTTTCTTTCGCTGGGATCCATCTATTCGAAATTTGTTCCGTATGCTTTCTGTTTTGATTTTCTCTGGCTGTATGACAAGCCTCAATTGGTAACTTTTCATGGAGAGGCTTAGCAGGCAGGTCTTGTTGATGTGGAACATGAAAAGCCTCAGCAAAAAACTTGCTTGCCGCTTTTTAGACAGCTTATTAGATAGGTCGCGTTGATGGAAAACAAGAAAAGCCACTTACCTGAAAGCTTACTTCCCGCAACAGTTCATTTCTATCGTGTGACTAACATGTGACCGAAGCGCGTGACCCTCAATGCGATTGGGACTTAGTCTTCATAAGCTCAAATACAAGGCGTGGACACTATCCCTGTTAGATTTTTATCATGTGACAGTCATGACGGTGTGATTCAGCGTTAATTTAAAGTCTGCCCACAAAATGTAGTTCTCAAACGTAACATCGAACGACGGAATAGTTTTGCGGAAGAAAAGCCCTTGCAACAGAAAGGAAAGCTGCAGCTTTCATAAAATTTTATGGCAAATATCAACTTTATATCACACATACAGTGAACTGTAACTTCACAAGAAAGATGTCGTGACGGTATTTTCCAGTCTTTCTCCAGGTTGTTTTTGCTTGTTTTTTTGGTCATTCATTTCACACTATGAACGCTATCATCGCCTTGTGTCACTTCTGCGAATTTCATGGACCAAGCGTCTTGTTTTGTACTCAGGTAATCCTTGAAAACGAAGTTGTATTTTTACTCCAGCACAGAATACAGGCTCAAAAGATTTGTTCAGTTGTTTCTTGTATGTTTCTGCACAGTAGATCGCTGTCGTCAAATGATACCTTTACGTTTATTTTAATGGTTCAAAAAAGTTCTAAACCCTTCCATTCCCAGGAATGACCGATAAGTCATTCAATGGGTCATTTTGATTAGAAAACGTAACAGAAAATTTATGAAACATCATTACTGACCTGATTTTGTCTCCAATATTCAAATTTTTTTCGTCTGGGAGATAAATTAAATTGTACGAAGGGTTGAAGATTGTGCGCAGGAAACACGTGTAGCTAGCTGGCTTGGCTTTGCTGCTGAACCAGCCCAGTAAAGTTTACCAGCTACAACGTGAACTAATTGCTCCCATCTATAATGTATTTTGAAGTCAAACTGTTAAATTCATTTCACTCGTGACAGAAATCACGATGATGTGTTTATGTACTTGTAAATGGAAACACTTTTAAGCTCTTAGGGCCAAAATGGTTTGATATTTTAGGTGGGACCCAAAAGATGCTCAGCTGATAAATAGTTAGATTACACAAATGGAAGTCATAAAGTCAGCTGCTTGATGGTTCAGAGTAAAAATCATTGAAAGGCATGACTACCTAAACATATTTGTATTAATTTTGTGCACGATCCTTGCAGTAAAGAGCACTATTTAAGCAATAGTGAAGATCAAACCTGAAAAAAATTCAGGCCTGTTTGGAATTCGAACCACTGACCTCTGCGATACTAGTGCAGCGCGCTCTACCAATTGTGCTAACAAGCCAACTGGGAGCAGGTCATCAAATAATTAAGTAGACATAAACCTGTGAGATGATAAATCAAACACAACGAATGTATGAGATTCATATATCTGAACTGCAGTTATAGAAATGTATATATGCATGATCCTTGCAGTAAAGAGCACTTTTTAAGCAATAGTGAAGATCAGACCTCAAAAAATTCAGGCCTGTATGGGATTCGAACCACTGAACTCTGTGACACTAGTGCAGCACTCTACCAATTGAGCTAACAAGCCAACTGGGAGCAGGTCATCAAGTTAATTCAACATAAACCCGTAAGGTGATAAATCAAACACAACGAATATATGAAATTCATATATCTGAACTGTGGTTATAGAAACGTATTTGTGCACGATCCTCGCAGTAAAGAGCACTATTTAAGCAATAGTGAAGATCAGACCTGAAAAAAAATTCAGGCCTGTATGGGATTTGAACCACTGACCTCTGTGATACTAGTGCAGCGCTCTACCAATTGAGCTAACAGGCCAACTGGGAGCAGGTCATCAAATTAATTCAACAAAAACCCATAAGATGATAAATCAAACACAACGATTATATGAAATTCATATATCTGAACTGCAGTTATAGAAACATATTTGTGCACGATTGGCTTGTTAGCTCAATTGGTAGAGCGCTGCAGTAACACAGAGGTCAGTGGTTCGAATCCTGTATAGGCCCGAATTTTTTTTCAAGTCTGATCTTCACTTTAATTTACTTAAATAGTACTCTTTACTGTGGGTATCGTGCACAAATATGTTTCCATAACTGCAATTCAGATCTATGAATTTCATGTATTCGTTGTTTGATTTATCTTCTTGTGGGTTTATGTCGAATTAATTTTTGATGACTTGCTCCTAGTTGGCTTGTTAGCTCAATTGGTAGAGTGCTGCACTAGTATGGCAGAGGTCAGTGGTTTGAATCCCATACAGGCCTAAATTTTTTTCAGGTCTGATCTTCACTATCGCTTAAATAGTGCTCTTTACTGCGAGGATCATGCACAAATATGTTTCTATAACCACAGGTAAGATATATGAATTTCATATATTCATTGACTATCTAAAGAAATAACTGAAATGCAAGAGTGTAGAATAAGAAAATTGTCTTTTTTTTTCTCTACTCACAGGCATTTCATTGCGAGGCTCATGACCCCTTAAAGGAAACCAATACCTCTGTTCTTGAGTGTGGAGCTTGCACCAAACGGTAATTGGAATGAATGGCATCTTTTTGTCTTTTTGAATTGTTTTTGTTTTTTTTTCGTTTGATGTGTGTGTTTTGAATTCATTGTCTTGTATTTTGTTATTTTTACATCTGTTAGACTTAAATATAAATGTGTGAACACACTGCTCGATTATCTAAAAATGCATTTGGGATCAGGTTGAGGACAGTATATTATAGATGAAAATCTGAACCAATCACGATGGAGTATCATGCTTTGTAGGGTGACATAAAAGACTATTAACGATGAACAGTCAATCGTGTTATTTGTCTGCCTTGTGGGAAAAGCTGTAATTACTTATTTGTTACAGAACTGTACAAGTCATGTACCTTGCCACTGAAACAACCTGTATTACAATATGTATGCAGGGATAGATATCTGATTCATTGCATTATCTTTTCCTCAGGAATTTTACAAGGTTTGGGTCAGATACTCCAGGATCAAGTACACAAGGATCGCGTGATGTCTGGGCATCATCCAGATCAAGCCAGTGTGAGGTATTAAACATCATGTCAGTGGATGGACATACAGATAACCTTTTGGATGTCATAACAAATTAAATGATCTTTGGGCAAATACATTTGCATCATTGACCAAGCTTGAGGTCAAGATGGCCAGATATTGGCAAAGTTCTTTTTTTTATTTTGCACTTTTATTAACAGAGGCAAAAAAACTAGTTAAAAAACAAGGCTTGTATCCAGCCATCTTGACTGAACAAGCTTCAGGTCAATGAAAGATTGTTATGTGGCAAAAATATTTAATTGCTTTAATTTATAGGAATCAAGTTTGACTTTTTTTTTTCCTCTTTGAGTGCTAGAAATAAAGTCAGTTGTGATGCAGCCTGTTCATGTAAGTTTTCTTTGTTTTGACTGTCTTCTGCTGCTCTCTGCGACTCCAAAGCTGACAATGTCTACAAATTATGAATTTTGCAAGTCTGCTCTATACAACTTTGCATGCAATCAAAGTGGTGAAGATGGGCCATTTACTCTAACACAGTGTTTGCTTCATGTTACCCTCAGACACTTTCTGCCACATGACAAAATCTATAATAATTGTATCTCTTCAAGCACCCATGGGCTACCTAAGTGGGTAAGCTGGACCCATCCTGCCTGCTCAGGATTGCCCACCAGTACTTTGATCCTGTGCAAGAGAAAAAGTGCGTGGAGTGAACTTACAAAGTTTGTAACTGTAACTTGAAACAATGAAGTCACAAAAAGCAGCAGAAGATAGTCAAAACACAGAAAATATAAATGATCCTCGTGGGTTTATGTGTTACAAACATAGTTGGCTCTCTTTCCTGGCACTTGAAATAATCAAGTAATTCTTGATTCTTATTAAAGCAAAATTGTTTTGCTATATAATTATTAATAATTTATATCCTTTATTGACCAAGCTTGTTCAGTCGAGATGGCTGTATATTGACTGAGTTCTTTTTTCGCGTTTTTATGGACCTAGACTTTGTCTCTGTCTACCATCTTGACCCCACAACTTGGTCATTAACACATAATTCGTTTTTCTAACATTACTGTTCTACTGTAGTCTAGTAGAGGCAACCTTTGACTGACCTGTGAACTTATCAACGAACTGTACAGTTGTCTGACTAAATGAAAAGGGGGCTGATGGATTTGATTAACTGCCTTATACTGACTTTCTATATACTGAATATTTCACGGATGATCATGAGGGACTGGCTGACTCACTTAGTGACCTTCTGATAGGCTGACTAACCAATTGATTGTAAACTTCTGTAACTTAATTACTGCATTGTCAAGAAGTGATAGTCAGGCTTTTGATAACCCCAAGATCCCCCTGTCTAACGTACATCTAAGTGTAAATCCTGTTTTTATGCATTCTTAGGCTTGCAAGTCTTTAGATCACACCCATGCAGGATATATCAGTATAGATCATGAAGCACATATCAGTTACTATAGCAACAGATCACCCGAGCAGCCAGAGTTGTACAGTGTAGTAAGACAGGCTTGTGTTAGGAGGTAAGAACTAGCCTGTAGATAATTTTGATTGGAAGGTGGAGTATCTTCTTATTTTCTTTCCATGCTCTGTTCTATATTAAATACCACAATTAATAAATGCTGGGTTCTTGCTTGAGAGAAGGAAACAGCACAATTATTACTGTATGCCTAGGTTTCCATAATATTTCAGTGTAATTTATCATTTGATCAATACTTTACACTGTAACAGCAGTATGTATAATCTACATGTATATTCTCCATACTGTTCTCTTAACATTTTCTTTGATACTCACAAGGAGAATTTGTCTTACAATCAAGACCTTCTTGATGTTATTTTGATTCACAGGTGAAACTGTTGGGTCAAAATAATTACATACTTATAGCCCTCTTGGGGTGAGAAGGGTCAAGAAAGTATTCATCTTGCTCAGTCATTCAATTTCCTGTGGAAAAGTGATTTGTAAATGAAATGTTAAGCTGGCACACATGCCTTGCGTTGTTCAACACAATACTGGTATGCCTACATGTGCATTCACTTTCTTTCCTTCACCAATGTTAAAGTTAGGCACATGCTAGACCCTGCCCTTCATTGCTGAGTCTCTGAGGCAGCTGCACCCATTCCCCCCTGATTTCCTTACTCCAGTTGATGCTACATTTCCTCAAAACCTTAGATCTACTTTTTAAAGTTTGTGGCTTTTGGAAACAATAAAATAGTGCAAAGGCTCAGTCATTACAGCACATGAAAAAAAGGACAATGAAATTCTCAGAGTGGGACATGATCAAAAAAAGTCCTGAGTCATACCAGGGCTTGACACTAAAAGTAGCCCACTAGCCACAGACTAGTAGAAATTCAGTTTTGACTAGTGGTTTTCAATTTCCACTAGCCAGTAATTTGGCTAGTAAACAGACTGAAATTGTCGTGACATATTCATCTAAGATGTCACTAGCCACTTGGCTAGTAAGTTTAAAAATTAGTTTCGAGCCCTGCACACCCTTCTCTCAACCCTTTCACATCACATTGAAACTGTAATTTCTCTCTGTAGTTTGAGCTGCGAGGTGTGTCCAGGTCGTGAGGGTCCAATGTTTTTCGGAGAGGAGACATCAGGCTATGTTTTCACTCACACCTTTTTTCTGAAGGATTCTCAATCAAGAGGATTCCAAAGATGGTATGTCAAACAGCAAGAAACAGAGTGCATGTGCTTCTAGAAATTATTAAAATGCCAAAAGCTGTGTGTATGGGAGGGGTTCAGAGATGTTTAATTATTAGTAGTACCTTTTTGCCTTATACATCAGTCTACAATGAAACATGGCATCCATGGAACATTGTGTGGAGAGATATCTGCATAACCATTTTACCATTTATTTAACAAAATGACAAAATTTTAGATAGAATGTTTGAAGCTCCTTGGTCATGATCATCATACAATAGGTTACCAGAAGGAGTGGAAATGGTCTTCTACTTTTACATATAGACACAATCCTTACTTTCACTTTTCTGTTTCTCCCAAGGTATAGCATAATTGCAGTTATGAAGGATCGCATTTATTTGGTGAATTCATGGCCATTCCTTGTGAGGTACAAAACAGTGCACAGTATTTGTATTCTTGTTACAAGGAGGTTGTCTTTCCAACAATGCTGGCAGTGGAGATCACCTCTGGAGTTATCTCTCGTATTGCAGCATTTGCTGACTGAACAGTCCCACTCTTGCATTCAAGTCTCTGTCACAGGCAGTAAGAACAAAAGTCATGGCAGAGGGGCGGGGAATGCTACATTTACATGCCTTGGGGAATGTATACTGCACATGCAAAGACATGAATGATATGCTGATGACAAAAACAAACACAACTTCTCTGCAACAATGTTTACTTAAATTTACACTTATTTTCTCCAATAGTATGGTACAATAAGTTAGTATTTAAGACTCAGCTGTTAGACCTCGAGTTCACACCTGTAGTCTAGGAACCCCTTTTGACCAACTATTGGTCAGTACCTTAACAGAGATGTCACTGTCATTGTCACCATCTACATCAATGTCAATGTTATTATCATAATCAATGCCACTAGTGTACTGCCACTTTCACTGTCACTCTACATGTGACATTCACTGTCATGGTCACTTTCATTGTCATTGTCAACGTCAATGTGACTCTCATGCCATTGTTGCCATCACTGTATCTTTCTGACACTGATCCCTCTTAAAATTACCTTCATTTTTGATTCATATACAGTACATCTGACTTTCAAAAGAATGATATGATGTTTAACAAAGAAAGTGTTTTTTTTTTTCCTTGTTCCAGCAATTTCAGAGAATTGATAGATGAATTACAGGCCAAGGTACTATATTTTGTATTGTCCTGTTTTACTGCAAAGATTTTCCTTACTTGTATTATCAGTAGCTCAGCTCAAACTACAGCTGTATTAACCCTAAATGTTCTGCAAATCTACCCACTGGATTATGATGTAATTAAGCCACAAATCAACTAACAAAATATTTATAAGATTTTTCATGCAGTTAACGTTTAGGCATCCTACAAAATGTGTGTTTAGTAGCTGATAAATTGTCCAACGTTACTGTATAGTGTAAATCTCCATAGAAAGCTTTACTGTTATGTGTATGCCAACCATGTACATTTGAACAATTATGTGACATTACCCAGTTTTGTGTAACCAATCTTCTCTTATCATGCTAAATATAATTTCAGGCAAATGCAGTTTATGAAACAGAACATGCAGCAAGTATTCAGAAAGGGCAACATATTCAGCCTAGTGCAAATGGATTCCTTCAGCCTCCTGGTAATGCTATGTTTTTATGACAAGTACATGTGAATTATCCAGAGATATATTTTTAGTCTAAACTTTATTCAGTTCTTTCCCCAGTTACTCTTTATTTTGTTTAACATACATGTAGTGTAAAGATTACTTTTGCAATACTTTTACTGTCCTTTTCATTATGATAAATAGATATTTTCAGAAGGCAGCGAGGAGGAAATAAAACTTACAGAGGGATTGCAGACATATTAGGAGATAAGGTATCAAATGCGTACAGGCTTTCTAAATAGCCAACAAGTTACAAATAGTGTCCTTTGTACACATTTGCTACTCAAATTTAAGAAAATGCCTTCTTTTTTTTCTTTCTGAACTGCTGAAAAGTCTTTTATTACTCTGTAAACATTTAGAGAAGATTTGCCCCAGGAAGGCAAGATTGAGAGTTTTTTCATTAAGAGGAATCAATAAGAGGGCATAATACAAATCCCTGTTGGCCTTGGCTTGACTGCAGTACAGTATCCGCACCACTATTGTAAAGACATAGCTAATTTTTGATAATTCCTGATGACACTTTAACATTAATTTTATTTGTGTGTATTTTGATCTACCAAAGTTTGAAATGAGCCATTGGCTTAACACCCATGATCCAAGAATTTAAAGTGTCTATACGGCCAACAAGGTTTTTATAGTTTTGTTATGTATTTAACATGTAAAATTAAAGTATTCTTAAATAAAAATTGGATTCTGACGAGTCTTCGCCCTGAAATCGAGCTTTAAACTTTCTGCTTTGGCTATGCCTATTGAAGGTGACGGTGAGTCGGGGCAAAAAAGAGATTGGGTTCCAGAATGGGTCGTGACGTGAAGTCAGGAATGCGCCAAATCCCGCCAGTGGTTCATTTCAGTGTTTTCTTCAGTAAAGTAAAGAGTTTTCAGAGACAAAAATATGCCCAATACATGTGTTGTAAAAGTACTGCGTTTGTCAAGCAAAGTAACAACATGACGCTCGAGACGCTCCTGGAGTGAAGTCACTCACCACCAATCTTCCCTTACATGGTCAACTTCATTGTGCGTGGCCGAAGCGGGAACTTTAAAGCTTGATTTTAGGGTGAAGAGGCGTCTAAATCAAATTTTTTTTTAGAATACTTTATCACAGGTTAAAGAGACACCAAAACAACGAAAACCCTGTTGGCCGTATAGACACTTTACTAAATGTTTTAAGCAAGTCTATTAATTAATATCTCTTCCTAATTTAAAACAGGACTTGTTTGCTACTCTTCACCAACGGTTTTCATGGATGTTGAAAGCTTGTGGAAACAGAATAACTGAGAAGCTTCTAGAAGGACCACCAAGAGTATGTACCTTTGCATTTGCCTTCTGCGACAATAGTCAATTACAGTGATTAAAATTCTAATAATTATGCAGTGATCATTTTAGACATCATTTCATTTAGTTGTTGTTGTTGTTGTTGTTTTTTTCATGCTTGTGATTTTGTAAAGCACCATGAGCTCAGGATTTGAGTGCTATAGAAATAAAGTTATTATGATGCAGTAAAAACGTCTGTATGCCATATACAATAAAAGCAACACGAGGTGCCGCAGCATAGCCCATGAGCTAATCAGGGGATAAAAATAATAGAAGCAAAATCTAACATAACTAAAAGCTAAACATCGTCATTATAAAACCTATTAAAAGCGATAATATATTATATGTTGTAGTTCAATTTTATCCTTGGTTCAAATTGTATTTTCCTTGTTTCAAACTCATTATCATACATTAACATGATTGAGAACAAAGGAAAATGAAATTTGAACCAAGTACTATAAAATTGAACTACAACATATTAGATTGTCCTTCTTTCCAGAGTGCGCCTACAAGTTAAATTACCACAGTGACTTTAAAAGTGCACACAATATTTAGAGTTCCTGAGAGACACGCCTTCTGCATCTTATTTATCATTATTATTATTATTATTATTATTATTATTATTATTATTATTTAATAATTGGTGAATTTGTTTCACTCACCCTCATGTAGATGATTCATCATTCCACCATTTCATGTACATTGCATGTTACATGCCCATGTTTATTGTTGTAGGAAGAACTACTGACAGATCTTGAAGCTCAGTTTGAGGATGATGATCTCCAAGGTAGTTAAGTCGACTTGATAATAATAAATGCAATTTATGATTACGTTTCTGTCAGCATCGAGCACCATAGTTATAGAAGTTTACTTTCACATTTAAGCTTCCCTCAAAAAGTTGATTCCTGCTACTGCAGTCATCATTTAACTCTCTCTACATTGATTAAAAAGTGATACACAATACACTTTTTTTTTGTAATATGTAGTTTGTTTATTCCATCTAGCAGAAATTATGTACTTAAAAAATCTTATTTAAGGTTAAAAAAAATACATATTATTATATTTACAATTACAACATCGATTCAAAATTGATCTACAGTACATTTGATTTTGAATTTGTGGATATGAGGGGTAAAGATGATAGGTAAATGATAAGAAAAAATAAAGAATAACTATTTTACTCTTGTACACCTTTTGGCTCAATACATGGAGGTCACTGCATTGTTTCTCGTGTTACAGAAACCTCTGATACAGAAAAGGAAACTGAAAGTCAAGAAGGTAATTAAAACTTAACCTACATAAATGACAAAGACGAATTTGTTTAACTGTGTTACTCAATGAAAGCCGGTTGCCGTCTGTATAAGACCTCTTACGGTCATCTGTTTATCCCATTTCCAGGCACTGCCGATTACACCATCGGCTGCCAGTTATAGAAAAAGTTATTGACACCTCCGGGAGAGGAAGTGATGGCTGTTTTTTTTTGCATGTAGCAAAATCTTGATGGTGACCTACATTGTTCGTGTGGTCCGAAAATAACATCTACACTACACACATTAGGCAAATCCCGTATAATAACTTCAGTGATTTATTATTATCACTAGGTACCCAAAGAACACTTTGGTTTTGGTTAGCCATTAAAACTAATGGTTTAGATAAATTATGCTTTAGAAATTACATCTTAAGAGAAAAGAGCATACATGCGTGTAGTTATTATCGTAAAGTGAAGTTTCTCTTTGAATGCTTAAGCCAATTCTTCACCCCTCTTTTGATACACATGGACGGTCGAGGGTCAGGGAAAGCCAGAGGAACAAGACGAGAAGCTTTTAAGCTTACCCATAAATCCTCTTCGAGTTTTTCATATCTTGATTTTCTATTTAGGTGGAATGATTGGGCCAATTTTTACATCTCTTCGACATATTTTAAAGGTACGTTGCATGTATTTGATGCGATTAATAACTCTAGCAGCAGGAATTTCCAGTCCAAGAATGTCTGCTTTGCTACTAAAGGCGATGCATCTTCAGCAGTAGTTAATTGATCAGTCAATCGACCAATCAATCAATCAATCAATCAATCAATCAATCAGTCAATCAACTAATAGACACAACTCCAAATCAATCAAGTTTCAAGAGCCACAATAGCCTCAATTGTGTAGGAATTTTTTGCGAAATTGTCACCGCAGAAAATATTTGCGATAGCTCATAGTAATTTCGAAGAGATAAGCTACAGTTCTGCCCTGTGTTTGCAGGTGTTGGGAGGTCACAAGTTTCATTTGTTAGCCTTTCATGTGATTCAAGGCAACCAAGTCATTGTTCGCGGTGAGAAACGAAAGACTGTTGAATCAGTCCTAAATTGCTTGAAGGTAAGAGGTACATGTGAAAAGGGCCGTACAGCAGATTATTTAGTTTTCGATAACGGAGTGCAAACATTCTTCAATACGTTTGTTCATCGATTTTTGTGGGAGGCGTGCTGGCGAAATTGTCAGGGCTTGGGAGCGAGAGGCCCTGTCTTGGGTTAATTTTAATGATAATAATGATTGCAGTAGACATTCTACTAGGTTGTCTTTCTTGTCCACTGTTTCAAGGTCGAATTGGAATTTTGGTTTTTGTGAAAACTGGGATGAAAACTGGAATCGAACCCAGGCCACAGCGAGGGGAAATGAGCGCTCTCGCTACTGCACCATCCCCGCTTCCAAAATTTGACGTGCTCTTCGGCACATACCTTTTCTATCATGGTGCCTCTTGCCATTTATGATATAATGTGACAAAGTATGTAAGGATGCTCCTAAGGATGGAATGACAATACAACTGTCACTTCACGCCACATAACCCCGTGTGACCTCTGGCAGTGTGCACAATTGCTTTGTTAAGACCTTAAACCGCTTCATTAGTTTTTGTTTTTCACCCGTTTCTTTGTTGGTGTGCTTCTTTAAGCATGAACTATGCGTTCGCTCGTTCGGAAGTGACGTCCCAGTTGCCTCAAAGTAACTTAATCACTCAGTCGCACTTTTTGCTGAATGCACACGCGTCATCCATTTTTGTTTTATAACGTCCATTTTTCAGGTATTGATACCCAGTGGTTGCTGTTCATGTATTCCTTACAGTAAGAAATACAAGGTATAGATGAATAGAAAACATGGAAACAAATTTTAAAATGTAAAGCTCTCCTCTCAATCCGGTGAGGAGAATGGAGTTTAGTTTAAGTGAGGCCCATCTCGGTCGCTGGATTTGCTCTTTTCTATATGTTCGTTTACTTCTTTCATATATTTATAATCATAATTATCATCATAATTATCATCATCATTATCCAAGGCATGCAATTACATTGAGAATGGGCCTTCTTTCTGGTAGGCGCTGGGCACAGCTTAAGAATACGTTACCTTTCAAAGCTCGTTGCTTTAAACGTGAAATATATAGCAATAAATGGCTCTCAAAAGCTTAACCTTACTTGAAAATTTTCTAGCAGTTTTTTAGTGTTGTTCATAATCAGTAAATAGGACGGGAGATCTTTAGAGAATTGGTCATTAGTTCTACTGTTTTGAAGATGGACGTTGACTTTTATATCCTCCCAGACATTTTATATCTATGGCGCTTGTAGGCAACTCTTCTTTTCTTTTTTTTTTTTTTTTTCTGACTGTTTAGGATTCATGGCGGTGTAATTTCCTGGGTCTTGCTCCAGGGGTAGAGATTCCTTCACATGTGTTGTCGTCAGATCTCTTTGTTTTGCTTGATATCATATCACCTCGAGAGCAGGTAAGCAAAATGTTGATGTGCGGATAATCCCACCTACTGCCTTTTCATGAAACTTAAACAAAACCGACTTTTACTAACTATACTTATAATAATTACACTTACAATGGCAGAAGTCAGAAACATGTTTGTACCACATTCGATATCCTCGGGGCTGGGTAGAATTAATGGTTAGATCCCAGGGTGTGTACTCGTTGAATAGTTACCATCTCTTCAAATTTCCATCCCTTACTAAGGTTCAGGTCCCTGAAGCTTCTGGCTCTGAGCAGCAAAGGTTAGTGTATTTTTTTCATAATCTCATGATTTATGTTCAAAAGTGAATAAAAACTTTGTTGGACGTCGCGGTGAACGTTTTGTTGTCGTCTTTATCTTGTATAAAATTAGAGATGAAGAACAAGAATTTCTTGGGTATGGCTTTGTTGTCTGTGGTAAAGAGAATGCTACAGGTAGGGTTCAGTCACTATTTAGTCTTAGTCTTATTAAGTCTTTCGTTGTAGTTGCTTCTTTCCACATTAAAGTTAGAAGTGCGTTTTGACCCAGGGGATCTCATGTTTTGGGAATTCTTTTGAAGGTCATGATCAGAGTCAAGTTGACATACCCCTGATATAAACTCCGCTCAATTTGCGAAGCCTTTATTTGACAAACTGACCTACCACAACCGACTTACGCCACTTGAGTCTTATAGCCAATAACATCACGGATAAACTGACCATTCAGCTCGCACGAACTGGACAACAACTCTCCATTTGACTTCGTTGATGGCTTCCTTAAAGGGTTGTCGAAACATCAGTCGCTACTACCGATAACAGTCCCTCACAGAACGATCAGACTACACGATCAAAAATTATCCATTGCTACCTAAGTCAGTCTTTTCCGTTATGTGTAGAACCTGGTAAATCTTCGGCTGGTTCTCATTGGGTTGTTTGTCCTCTTTAAACGATGTAGATCCCACCATTCTCCAGAAAGTAGAAGACGCCCTGGCGAATGATTCTCTCTCGGATGCAGTGTTTGATCAGCTGTTGATTTGCCTTAAGGAAGAGTGGATGGAGTAAGTTGCAATTCAAAGCTTTGCGATTTTTTGAAAAGTATACCATTCAGTCGCGAATCTAGGGAAGGGGCACGGGGGAACCGGCCCCCTCCTTATTTTGTGTTAAAAAATTAATGCAGAGGGAAGAAAGGCCGGCAGGTGAACAGGCACAAACAAAAACGCCGCCCCACCCCCCCTTCAGCTCAAGGCTTGGATCCTCCACTGCTGTCCCCCATCTCATTGTCAATTTCTTACTTGTTACTTTTTTGTAGCAAAGTAAAGGTGATTTTCAAGTTTGCAAGGTCCGGCCCGAGCACCAGTGAGGATAAAGAGAAGTTAGTTTAATTCACTTGTATTTTGTTTAGCGATATAATTTCGTTTCATATCTTCAATCAGTTTGATTCTTGGTATTTGCGGATAACTTTGCCGATACACTATGCTTTTATCCCTACCGTAAACTGACAGTTTCTAAAGCTTACGTTTTGTCATAGGTAATTACGAAGAGGTGACGCTCGAAATGCCAGCTTTAGAAACTCTTTACGGTGGATAATTTACATTATCAACTCAGTCTATAAAACCGAATTATCTTGTGATACCCCCACCGACGCAGCATCACAGTTTCTCTAGAGACTTACCCCTGGTATTCAAGCTATTTTTGTCAAGCAAAACAGTTAAAAGCAGAGAATCGGGGACCGCACCCAAATTATTCCCTAGGTTTTCGCAGTCATCTTTCCTCATATGTTTGTACGGGAAGGAACATCAGCCTTAGCAGCGTTTTTTTAGAGGAATGTATTCGCACATGCTTTGTAAGGTTGATCCTTATCTACAGCGTGAGTAATGCTGCTTTGTTGTAACCGTTACAGACTTCTGAAAATTCTTGGCGCAAAGCCCGAAGACGAGATTGTTCTTAAGTTTTGGATGACAGGACTTAACAAACAGTACCGGTCCCATCTGCTGACCTGTAGCAGTACTGGCTCATCGTCCTAATCCTCGTCTACCAATCCAGCTTGTTACGACTTTTCTCAGTTTTGTGTCGCGATTTCCACGGCACTGCGATGCTCGTGCCGAGTTTGGTTTCATACTTCCTAGCTCATTAGCGAAGGAAGTCATGCTAAGTACAGAGAGGAAACCCTGAGGAATAATTAGGCTTTCTAATCATGCTCAATCTACCAGCAATTCCGGACTTACAAGCGCAGATTTCGAAAACTCATTGAAGCGCGCCAAGTGACTCGAAGTTACAGTGTGAGATCAGCTATCAGCCTGTAAAGGCACCTTGCAGTCGCAAGCCGTCCATCAATGAGCTCAACCCCCAATTCTCAAACCATGGAGTACATGCACTTAGCTCATGTCTGGAGTGCTGAGATTTATTTATTGATGTGACAAGCGCTTCGCCACTAAATTGTGGTTGAAGACGCGCTACGGGGTGAGAGATGAAAGGAAGTTGAGAAAATGTAAGCACTTTTCTTCAAACAAACACCTTTAATGTTTTTGCTTAAGATTTAAGCGAGGAGTTCGGTACTGTTTCGCCATGTTGTCTCTTCAGAAATCTCAAGATATGAGGAGTAATCTACTTCCAAACTGCATTGCATTTGCTTGACAACTTGAATAGTAACTTGAAAGATCTATGGAGATTACATCCGCAAGTCGACATTTTTTTTTTTTGTCTTTTCTCATCGCTGGGTTACTACATGGTATTGATATTGGGAAGTTGTATGTAATCAGCAGTTAAACTGAGTGAAAGCTGTAAGTCACCGCATACCCTGAAATAAAGGAGCGTCTTCTGACAATGATGAGATAAGCTGATCTCTCGCTCTTATACTATGTCGAGAAAATATCAATTTGGTTCGTCACCGAACTTGAAACTACAATTTACAGATATTTTCCAATCCATGTGTATCTAAGTCATAGTTTGAAAGTCTTAAAGTCAAAATCCACCATCCAAATGATTGGGTTGATTATTCAGTTCTTTCTCATGTCGTTCATTTGCCTTCTTCCTTTTCATACACCATGTAGACTCGCGTTAACTGAAGTCCAAAAATATTTTTTTGCAAGAGACTCTCTCTCTCAAGGGCTCTTCCTGGAAACTCTGCTGGTTGTTTATCCGTGCATTCAACAGGAGCTGTTGAAGACATTTTCAAATTAATACAACATAATAGTTGAAGCCCCGATACAGTTACTGGAAAGTGTACGTTACGGTTCGTGCATCAGCAATCATGCAGTTTTAAACTCCACCCCACACCAATGGTCCTTCACTTTTTTTTTTTTTTTGGTTTATTGGCTGTGGTGTGTCTCTCCTGCTTAACAATAATTATTTCTAAGTTTTACTCCACTTAGTGGCGATAGTGAGCCTTATGACGCTAAAAATGACACAATACTGCATTCAACTGAACGTTTTGCTGAGGTCACTGCCTACCTTACTTAGCCTGCAATAAGGAATAACGAACTCTGTACGCGCTCTATTCTGTCTTGTAACAATGAACAGTGTACCCCTCGTCTAATTGGTCAGTTCAGTTTCCAAGCGGATGCTTTATCAGATTATAGAGCCCGCATGTAGCAAGTTATGTTATGAAAGCAATAGCATTTCGTCAGCTAAGCTTTTTTTCGTGTATTATGACAGATAACTGTCCCATTGAGTTTCCCATGCAAAAGCGTAACTGAATTTTTCCTGAAAAATTTATTTTTCAAGTGGGCTGAGTTGTCTAGCAAGCGCCTGAACTAAACAACTCGAACACGCTAAGTAAGTCAATCACAATCCTTGCAGAAGGGTTCAAATGATCGGATTGGCTGACGAGTCAGTAGTTTGGTGAACTTTAGCTAACCTTTACTAACTATACGGTTTGCATTGTGTGTTTATTACAGAAATAATGCTGCTACTGGCGAAAAAAAGGGGGGAGAGACTAAAACTTCTTCCATTACTTTGGCTTTGTATGCGGGCGAGAATATCAGGGTGGAACGCATCGTTACGGTAGTGATTTAGAATTTGATTTACACAGCGACGTTTAGATCTTTCCTTTACCACGAAGCAAAACCGCGATAACATAATTGCAGTGACCCTATTCATTATTTCAATGAACTTAGAAAATTAATTTTTTCTGTGGACATCTACATTTTCAAATTTATCAGACGTGTTACTCGAGTCTAAGTTATCTTTTTCAGTTTTGGCCAGCCAGCTTTATTTCCTATCCAGTTAATTCGGGACTGTTCACCTCAAACGCAATGCATGTAGTAAAGTGGTATAAAAAACTGTCTGAGAGTTGATCCAAGATCTGTGTTGGCGATTGTAGTTAAAACTTTGATTATGCATGCATCAGACAAAATCGTTTGATTTGTTTCCCAAATCAGTAACATTTGAGGATATAGTAACTAACAATTAACTGTATACCTTTTGAAATTTGAGACCACAAGCTTGCATAAATTGCTAAAACAACAGCTCGGAACGTTTGGCTCGTATAAGGCCCAGAGGAAGGAGAGAATGAAGGTTTTAAATTTGAATCGCTTCCTAACGAATGACGGTTAGAGATAACAACAAGAGATTATGAATTCCTTAAAGCGAACTTCTTGTCCGTTCGACAACACTTCAAGCGTCACGGTTTGACGTCGCGACTTCGTCATTAATTCAAAACTACAGTTTACGGATAAAATATTTAGAGTCCGTCTGAGATGGAAGACAAAATTCCTGTGCCATAATCAAAGAAACGTTTTTCTAATTGATGGATTTCACAACTTAAGCGTGTTTTTCTTTTCGGTTTTATGGTCCCAGAAATTCAAACTTTGGGAGTTCAGTCGGAGAGGTCGAGGAGGTTCAAATTTTTTCCCCACGTCACTGTGGTCAGTCAAGGAAGAAGATTTAGTCAATATCGCGTGAATTGAAATTTGCATGCTCTTCCATAACGCGAAAATTGCCTGAGACAGAAGGTTACTTTTCACATGCCTCGCATAATACACCCTGTGTTACTCGTTTAACTTCATTGACGAGCACTCTAGCGCAAGGGCTTGAATCAGTCATTCATTTGTTTCCGCACTTAAATGAACGAGCTGTTTCGCCGACTGAGTGCTTCATTAGGAACCAAGTCGATCGATTGTGTCAAATTTCGGTACTATCGTTATTCCTTGAGGAAAGTGTTTTTTCTTTTTTTAGCTCGAGTTTTCATCTGTTTTATCGTAACGATCCTATATGGTTTGAATTTTGATATAGAAGGTTTCAAGGAAACTAAAAAATGTTTGATAGCTGTCTTCAGCATGTGAATAGCACATGCACAAAACGTGCGTAGTTGACTTGTGTGACGTAGTTTATATTCAGTTGAATTCCAACTTTTGGCAAGAACTTCCGTCCGCGCGCCAAGGCCTTTCCCGCCATACCTTGACCCTCGTGTTGCGAACCTCCTACCGCGTGAGAATTTTCCCGCCATCTCAAACGTTCACAGATGTCGAAACACTGATTAAAAAAATCAGTGGATAAAGAACTTGCAAGAATGTATCCTGCACTAGTTTAAGTATAAATGCCAGAAGACTTCAGCATTTTATTCGTTCCTTCGTTGCGACACAATCACTTTCGTATTTATTATTCGAGTTTTCTAAATTGTTAATTCTTTGACTCCATTTAAAGCATTTATCGAGCAACATGAAAGCTAGAGCGTGATCGTCCTCTTTTTGAGCTTCTCTAACTTTATTCCATCTATATCTAAATTGATTTTGTTATTTTTTGAAGCACTTTATAAAAAGAACGGTCCTCCTTCAGTACCCTTCCTGCTCATAGATTATGACTCGTATTAATCGAAACTTCTATGCAGTTCACCTGTGATTTTCTCTGCTGGCTTCAACAGACAGCCGGGATCGGTATTCTGCCGGTTAAAACGCGATGCACATAATGATCGTAAGAAACTTCCTACTTCACAAAAGCACGATGACATCTTCGTCCTTTCGTACGTTGCAGCCACGTCTTCTTTAACTGAGTTCTCAAAATGCCATGGTATTTGTATCGATCTATGATAGCTCATTGGCATATCACGTGAGAAAAACGTGAATTCCTCGAGGCCGGGGTCATCACGCAGAAGGCCTATTGTTCTTGAGACATTTGCAGTAGCGAAAAAATTATAGGTCTGTAATATTGGCAGCGAAACGTATTTTGGAGAGCTTTGATTGGTCAAAGATTACGCCCGCATATTGGTTTAGCTCGTGAACTTGTCAAGGTGGAGCTAAGAAACAATAGCTTAGGCCGAGTGGGTAAAATATATGATCTGAATATTATTGAAGTGCTGACACGAACGAGTTCGGTTGTGGTTTCGTTATAAGTTCTACTTTAAACTCAATTTGTTTCTCCCGCATCATTTTCGAACGGATATTCTTATATATAGCTTTACATTAATTTCTGTCGATGGTAGATTCCCAGTAGCTCGCTCACACGCCACATGCCCAGCCCCTACCATTCTTATGCCTGGTGAGAATTAAACATGCTTAGTCGGCACTTTCAGTTTCGAAGAATGGTCGCGCTGTTCGCTCCACCATTATTTTCATTTGTTCCCTCGCTCGAAACATCCCGGCGATTTCTGTCAGCCATCGTATAGTCTGAACTCAGGGAAGTGTTAAGTATCCCGTCGAAGTATAATAAGTTTCTTCATCACGTAGCTAGCTCTGTAACAGAAATTCAGTTTTTAACGACCGGCAGTGTAACAAGTATAGCAAGGCCGGGTCTGATGTTTAAACGCATTCGACCCATAACTCCTCACAATTACGCCATGAATTCTAACATTTGAATTTTTTTTAACCAAAAATCCTTTAACTTTGTTGCTACTAGCATCGAACAGAGCTGACCGTTACAGTGTAAGTGCTTTTGAAATGGGATCGATTGATCGCATTTACTGGCTTGTTCAGGCCTGACCCCACATTACACGTACACTAATGCTGACAACTAAAAGTCATTTAAACACCCGAATGATTAACAATTAAAATGTACTGTAATCACACCAAATTTCTGACTAGTTGGGAAAACTGAATTATGATCCAATTTTAAATTCTGGTTTTCCCTTTTACTGCCAGCAGTATGAACTTTCAGGTAGAGTTTAGGTTTCTCCCTATTTATTTCATCGTTTCAGTTCCTTCAAGATATAGTTTGGCTTTTTAACATAGATGTTGTAGTTCAGTTTTATACCTGGTTCGAATTTTATTTTCCTTTGTTCTCGGTCATGTTAATGTATGATAATGAGTTTGAAACAAAGGAAAATAAAATTTGAACCAAGGATAAAATTGAACTACAACATAGACATTCTTATGAAATTATGAATGGTTTACATCTCTCTGGCCTTGTAAATAGCACGCCAAGAAATGGTTTCATTTCAGATCCCAAATCCCGCCCCTGTTTACGCATACAACGTGAAATGTGATCTATTTTTAGAGACAGCAGATTAAACGCCAATTCTGGCCCAAACCATTCTCTTTCCCACCAAAACCCTCTCAAATGTGTCGCAAACATTCCATACGTCAATTTTTCCCGCCTTCCATTATCACGTCAACGTTTTTCCCTCCAACTCAAAGGCTAAAAGATATTCCTGCCATAAGACCAATGGTTAAAGAACTTCGTAACATGTTATGCATTGGTTTTAATTTGTAAGGAATATTGATGTTTTCTTAAATCTCGGACTGACTTGCATCAGGTCAGCATTTGCCATTTTAGATTGCGATCTACTACTTCTTAGAACTACTTCTTCTTCTCCCCCTCCCTCTTCTTTAATTGTTTTATAAAAAATCACTTTTCTTCCTGAATTAGATAGCCAATGATACCCTTCCTGCT